TCTGCAGGTGCTCTCGCAAACTACTGCGCAAGTTGAACCGTCGACCGCAGAGGTGGCAGGCATAGTATTTTGGGAAGCTCCCGTTCCTTTTCATAATGCTTGGCTTGACGTGTGCTATTGTGAGCGAAGAAGGCTGTTCATCCGAAGAAGATGCTTCCATGTTGGCCTCTTCTCCCGCAGGTGAATTATTACCGGCAGCAGATACCAATTCCGGGGATAAAGATGATGGCAAGGGGTCAGAAGTGGTCATATTTGTCCGGGTCACTTGTGGCATAGTTGTAGCTAACTGTGAGAGCTGCGAGCCTTCCGAAACCTGCTCTTGGGTCATCCGTGAAGTCTGTGGCCTTGGTTCTCGCCCGAGTTTGTCAGTTGCTGATGTAACTTTAGTGGGATGTCTTATCTGGTGATCTGCAATCTGAATGCCATATAATGAAGATGCTAATGGAAAAACTTGATCCGGGTGAGAAAAAGTTCCCTGACTTGCAAGGCTGGCCTCCTGAATGAGTGGATACGCATGCAGAAACTTTATTCCCTGTTCTAGTCGAACTGGGTCAATGAGTTGCGGTGCCATCTTCCCGGTGTACATCAGATGCAAGAGATAACTGAAGATATCTGGCTGTATGTCAGTCGCTTTCAAACGGACACATTCACTGAAAGGTGAAACAAAGTGATCAGTAACTGATAAGGGAAATGATGTTTTCAACCAGATCTAGATAAAGATTAAGCTGTCCCATTGCAATCTTCACCTTTCCAAATTGCTGTTGCATGATAGACTTGATGTCACAGACATCAATATATTTCATAAATTCTGAAGATATTTCCCCCTCCCCCTTTTTTAATCGGATTCAAACATGTCTGCAGCCAAATTAAGACTTGCTAGCACAGGAGTATAAATTCACAGCCCTTTAAACTTTTCTCCGTTCTTAGCCCTGAGAACTCATCTGGCACTTACCTGTTTGGCTTCTACGTCTTACTAGTGTTTACAGTAACAGTTCTGCAAACGTGCGGTATCACCTCCTCTAAGCTGCACTATGACCCAGAAACATGCAGGACAGGGTGGGAATTCCCTGAGGATCTGGTGGAAAAGGTGTAGCCCGAGCACATCCAACCCGTGAAGGCCAGGCTGTTTATCAAGAGAACAGGAGCTTCTTTCCCTGAACAGGGAGGAAGGAAAGGTAGCACCAGTAGTATGCTTGGTCAGCACTAACAGTCCCTTGGTTAGAGTGTTCAATTAAGTGAGGCACATTGGTTGCGATGCCCTCTTCAGCCTAATGGGATCAAAACCAACACCATCCTGCAGCTGGATCATGCCCTATGCATCACCCATTAGGATGCTCTGGACTGAAACACCCCCCAGTCCTCCAGCTGGATCTCTGTGAAGACAGAAAGGCGAGGTTCACAGAACAAGAAAGAAAATCAGGAATGTCTCAGTTAGGCCGCCTTGCAAAAGGAGAGGATCTGGGATTCTCATTGTTTTTCAGTTATTTGTAGCTCTCACATTAAGCAGACGTTAAATGAAAGACAAATCCAGAAGTGGACATGACTGCACTGTGGTCTGAACGCTCTGACCACAGTAGGCTACCAAGCTGAGGAGGAAATTATAACCAATTCTTCTTTTTCGTGAGGTGTACCCTTCTTGAGCTCCCTCTTACTGCTTCTGAACTCAGCTGTATTACTCAAAATAAACTGTGCAGTGACATCCTCCAGAGATGACCGTATGCTCCTGACGGAGCATCAAGACTGATACACCTGCTACAGTCCTGTCTCAGAAGTGCAAACGTACTTCTCTCCTTGATGTTTATTTACTTTTGGACACAGACCATTAGCCAGAGCCGAGAGTTTTGCTCACTTAAACTTTTTGATACAGCTCAAATAATTGGGAAAAAGAGAATTCCTCAAAAATCCTTAAAACAGTCTCATAACTTATCTTGTCAATGCCTTCTCTGTTCAGCTGTCCCCTCCCCCCAAAAAAGAAACAAACAAGCCAACAGAACAGCCCATCCTGACCCCAAAACCCAACGCAACCTTTATTTTCTATTTATTTATTATTTATCTGATCTAAAGAAAACCACAAAACATAATACCCTATTTTACACATCCATTTCTCAAAACCTCCTAGTAGATACTTATTGGGCTGCTTATGATGTTCTGGCAATGTCAAGAATACTGCCAAGACCGCGTAGAATATAGGGAGTGGAGGAAGAGAAGTGCAATGGTGAAGACAGGAGCCTTAAAATACTCAATTCCAGGCGTCCTATACTTTTTAAGGATGAAGAATATTCACTGAATTATAACATTAACGTTAATGAACTTCATCTTCCACTTTGACACTTTCAAACTGAGATTCTGGTCTGCACATATGATCAGATACCATTCACCAGGTCGCAGCAAGAAGCAAAAAGAACCCTTCAGGTTTCAAGATGTCGCTAGACCTCCCTACCACAACGAACCGAACAACATTTGAACAGTCAAGTCAGCCTTTCCGTAGTTACCTGGTCTGGTGAACAAAGAGCATCTTGAAGTAGTTGGAGAAAGAAGCAAGGACCGACTTGTGTGCCTTGAAGTAGACATCCCCGATTGCAACCGTGCAGTCACACAGGAAACCAAACTCTCTCTGAGCATTTAGTTGCTGCAGCAGAATAAGTCCATGGTTGGCCAAATCCATTTTTTTACACTCTGAAAAGCAAACGACTTTCATGTAAAACTTAACAGTAGATACACAGGTGCCACAGTAGATCTCTCCGTGGTTATTTTCCTCTAATGTCTGTATGCCTTGCATTAATAACACCTCTTAACCCCAAACTATGACACCAATGACACCTCGCACGCAGGCAAGGACCGCTGCTTCACGACACGCAACACGATTCACAAAGGTGCAAGTGATTTGCTCTGTCCTGGGAAATTCCTGCTTTGTCCCCCAAAGCAGGAACGCCGGGGGGTGACGTGTATGGCTCCATCCATCAGTGGGAACCCATGCAACATCGGGCAAGCACCAGGGAAACGTGGCACCAACCTCAGCCAGCCTAAACCAGGGCTTGTGCAGCCTCCCGTGCCGCATGGTCCTACGGGAGCATTCTCTCAGGGGTTCGAGGGCACCTTTGGAAGCAAGAATTGGCAACTTTGGGAAAAAAGTAGCCAGGGAAACACATTAGGAGGGTTGCGTATGGATGGACGGATGAATATATGGCCGCTACCATCAACAAGTGGGTATAAACTCAACCAACACAAGCGGAGCTGTGGGCAGAAGTGACAGCACGCAGTGACCAATGCAGTCCTGCCCACGGCCGGGTGAAACAGCACGGTGTGGGGCAAGGCAAACACCGGGCACGGGGCACATGCCTATGCTCTACAGATCGGGGCACTGCGGATGCTCTACAAACAGAAAATAAAGAGGTGGTGGAAAATGGATCAAAACCAGCAGATGTACAGGGAGGTTTTTTTTTTCATGAGTTTAAGGGGAAGTTACCAAGATTTTGGGTAAAGTACGAACTGAGTGTTTCCTTAGCGTGTTAGGAACGATTCTTTTTTTTATTTTTTATTTTTTATTTTTAGGGAAGAGGACAAAGGTGTACTGCACACAGGGCAGCACGTTTCGAAGCATTTCTGCCTGCTGGAGGGCGACAGCAGGGCTCAGTGACCAATAATAAAATAACCAAACGATTATTTGCTCAGCTAACGCTCTTGATAGGAAAAAAATAATAATAATAATAATAAAAATCGGGCTCCGGCTCCCTTCAGCCCCCCGCCGGCGGGGCTCGCTGCAGGCCGTTGGGGGCCGTTGGGGGCCGTTGTGCCGGGCCCCGTCCCGCCGTTACAGGCGCGGCGCTGAGGGAGGGCAAATGGCCCCCGCGGCGCGCGCGCCCCGCCCGCTCCCGCTCCCTCCCGCTCCCTCCCGCTCCCGCCGTGCGCGCGCGCGTGGGCGTGGCCTGCGGGCCGCCCTCTCCCCCCCGCTCCCCGCTCCCGTCCCCATTGGCCGGCGGGGCGGAAGGCCGGGCGGCCGCGCGGCGCTCTCACTGGCTGAGCCCCGCCCCTCTCCCCCACCTCCCCCCTTCTCCCTCCCCTCCCTCCCCTTCCCCTCCCCACCCCCCCCTCCCTCTTCCCGCGCACGCCACGCGCACGGACGGACGGCGGCGGCGCGAGACGCAGCGCGCGCGCGAGACGGGAGCCGCCGCTGCCGCCACCGCCGCTGGGGCCGGGCCCGCCCCTGCCGAGGCGCCGGAGACAGGCGGGGCCGCCCCCTCCCCCCCCCCCACCTCCCTCCCCTCCCCTCCCTCCCCTCCCCCGCCCTTCCTTCCCCGCGCCGGATGCCGCCGGCCCGGGAGGGGAGGGGGGGGGGAGCCGCGAGGGCGGGCGCGTGCGAGCGGGCCCCAACCGGCCGGGCCCGGCCCTGCGGCGGGAGCCACCGGCGCCCCCCCCCCCCCTTCACGCCCCCCCTCAGCCCTCCGCGCCCAGCCCGGGGCCGTGTCCCGGCTGCAGCCGCCCGGCGCGGCGCGGTTCGGGTTTTCGTGAAGCGGCGCCAGGCGCGGCCCGTTCCCCTCAGCGCCCCCCCGCCGCCTCCCTGCCCCCCTCTCTCTCCCCTCAGCCCCCCGCTGCCGGTGCGGTGCGGCGGGGCCGGGCCCCACGTGCTGGCGGCGCGGCGCGGCGCTCACCTGCGGGCGGCCGAGGCGCCGGGAGCCGCCGCCGCGGTGTCGGCGCCCGGCAGCGGCAGCAGCGGCGGCAACAACGGAGTCAGCGCGGCGGCGGCGGCGGCGGCGGCTTTTCCTGTCCGGTTACGTTAGGGTCACATGACCGAGAGCGGAGCACAGAGGCTGCAGCGAGGAGCCCCCGCCGGGGGGGAGGGGAGGCGGCGAGCGCTGTGGCGGCAGCAGCAGCAGCAGCACCAGCAGCAGCAGCAGCCGCCACCCAGCCCCCTCCCGCCCCGCCCTCCTCCCCGCCGGGACCGGCCCCGCCGCCGCCGCCGCCCGCCCCGGCTGCTCGGCTGGGCTCGGCTGGGCTCGGCTCGCCGGGCCCCGGCGGCGGGGGTGGCGGGGAGGGAGCTCCGCCTGCGGGACGAGGAGAGGAGGAGGAGAGGAGGAGGAGGAGGCCGCGCTCCCTCCCCGGTTCGAGTGGCGGCCGCAGGTGCGTCCCCGCCGCCTCACCGGGGCGCGCAGCGCCGGTGGGGGGCGCGCCCGGGGCTTGCACGGGGAGGGAGGGAAGCAGGGAGGGAGCGGTGCACGCGGTGCCCGCGGTGGGCAGGCTGGAGGCTCCCCTCCTGCGGGCACGGGTCTGGCGGGGAAGCTGGGCGGTGAGGAGCCCGGGGGAGGGCGTGCAGCCAGCGGCAAGGTGTTGCGCTGCGCCCCGGAGCCGCTCCCGCTGTCGTGAAGCCTTCGGTAGGAGCGGCAGTGCCAAGGGGTTGAATCGGTCCGGGTCATTGTCACGGCTTAATTATTTATTTAATGCTCCTCAGCAATCTCTTTCTTGAATTAAGCCAGCTCGTGCGAGGCGCTTCCCTGACCCAGCTGGCAGGGCGCTAGCTGGAGCTGGGCTGGTAGCTCTGCAATCGGTACATCAGGTGTCCCGCAAGCAGGACGGGATGGGATGCACAAACCGAAGCCCAAACCCTTCCAGTTTAGAGTCCTGGCGGCAACTGCACGGAGAATGGGCAGAGGAGTCCTGTATTTTGTCTGGTCTGTAAATCAACAGGCGACTGCAGTCATCTGAGGCTATTGTTATTTTTGCAGGGTCTAAACCGAGCAAGGACTGGGAGAGCTTTACACGCGCCTGGCTCTGCTGTCTGCCACTGAAACTGGTGGAGGTCTTGATAGATACAGCTTGAGTGTGTTTGAGCAGGTAGCTCATCAATATTTATTTATCTATCCTTGTTAAGCAGCACCCGAAAACTAACTAGCTAAGTCCTTAAACAAAAAGCACCAAACTTACTTTGCTTGGAGTAGAAAACCAGTGGTGTGTTTGCTGCTGTTGCAGTATTCGGAATAAAGAAACTGAACAGCACTGTATCCTCAGAGCCCCCTTGGACATCTGTGCTAGAGACACGCTTTTAACAGCAGTCATGGTTCTGTTGTGCTGAGGGCATGATAAAAGTTGATGTAAAGGTATTTCACCAGCAGATTGAAAGGCTTTTAGTCTACTTGGCAGATTTTTTTTCCCCTTACCTTTCACTTGTATTTCAGCTCTGCAAACTAAATACAAAGTAAAGAGAGTAGGTGGACGTTTGGACTTGTGTTGCTTACTGGTGGTCAACTTGTCTCATTCTCGGGGAACATGGTGAGAGCGATATAGTTTTCAATTAAGTTTGAGACGGCTACTTAGGAAAATCATGGTATTTCTGGCAGGTACCTATCTGATGATTTTGCTTTTTGTCCTGTTTTTTCTCTTCTTTGTTGCCCTTGAGTCCTTCTGTGTCAGAATTCATGTGAGGTTCTCCTCTGTGTTCTCTCTGAAACTGGAAAAAAAACTAGCTTAAGTGATTGTTTTTTATAAAAACTCGTAATTCAGCTTTAAAGCCCCTTGTTTGGACTGCAATACCTGAATCCAGCAATAATGCAATTCTTAATTTAAAAGTATCCTGTTGGATTCAAAGTCTGCTGGAATTGGTAGAAAGATTTCTGTGCTGAATTTAATGCTGCCTAACCTTACATCTGCAGTGCTGGCTGGCACCTGGGGCGCGTCATCTGTGTCACAGGGAGCCACAAGTGGTTCACCTGTTGCAACGGTTCACACCTGGCTTAAGATGTGAATCTAAAATTTTAAATCTAAAGTCCATCTCACTTCTTAGTGTATTTTTCTTAACATACACTCAGTACAGCTGAAATTGTAATTTAAAATGTATCTTCTCATAAAGTGGTATTATTGTGCTCTCAGTTTTTTACACCAACTTTTTTCCTCCAGTTTCTCGAGGTGCTTGTTCAGGATTTATTTCCTAATTTTATGAGTTTTTAAAAGCAATGTTCATACTGCTCCGAATATTGCTCTGTACTCAAGACCGTCTTTAGTTGTGTTGCTGCTGCTGATAGGATCAGTCCCTGTATCTTTGGTTTTGTTTCGATCTATGCATAACCCAGATTAAAGGCAGGACTTCGGTAGGGGAACATTTTGCATTGTAAATGAGCACACTGCTCATGATTTAAGTGCTAATAGAACGATGAAGACATTTGCTAATCTGAGTAAAAATGCACTAGGGCAGTAGGAGGAAGTAGAGCTAGGTGGCCCCAAGTCTGTCAGTGTGTCTCTGTGGTGGAGATCAGCTGAAGTTGGTTTGGGGGAGCAGATTGTTGTTGTTCTAGTCAAAACCTTAACAGTTCCGTTGACATCAGTCGGGTTTGAACTTAAGTTTTTCAGCAAGTCTTCAAATTTTGTAGCGTTTTTGGAAAGCAGGAGAGGAGAGTCCCTAATCCAAAGAGCAATTTGCTCATTCCTTCCTGCAGTGCACCTTACCCGCTGCCCCAGGGCAGCTTCTGGGATCGCCAAAGCTGTCGGGGGCTTCTCATCAGTGCACGTCCTGGGCACTGTTTCCGCATGGGTACCTCTGTAGTAAAATGCCAGTCTGTATCAACACTGTAAATCCATTTTATTAGCACAGCTGACGCTTCTGACGCTTTGGCTTCTGATTTATCTTGGTGACAAGGCTTGGTGGGAAGCGCGACAGCTGCGGGAGCTTCTTGCTGGATGAATAAACGTTGTTCATCTGATGGTTGCCTGTCTCTTCGTCCAGGGTTACCATCCCTGCTAGAATTTGTCTCACGCTTGGTCCAAACCTCGCTTGTTGTCAAAGCAAGGAGAAGTGGTGCCCAGGATAAGCCCTCACGTTAGGGTTGTTCTGGTATCCTGATGTTGGTTACAAAAGTGGAAACTTCGTGTTTTTACACCTAGTGAGCAAAGCTTTATCATCAGCTACTGAGTAGCTGTAATTTACAGCAGCAAAGCAAACAGAACAAAAACCCCAAATCCTTTTGCTTGTAGAACATATGTCCTCAAAGGAAATGGTTTAACCATAGGTAGAAGAATTTGTTAGGAGTCCCATTTCCATCAGGAGTTGTTGGCGTAACCGAACTGACACAGCTTCTGCCATGCAGATTAGCCCTTTTCCTGCTGCCTTTGCCTTCGTCCCAGATGAGCCTGATGCATCAGCCCTGTCTGCTTTTAACTGGGAGAGTTGAAGAGGGACCGTGCCTTCCTGGCTGGAGTGACATTTCTAGAGTAGCACAACTGTAAAGCTACGGTAATGTGTACTTGCATGTTTTGTTCTCCCTGGGGGAGGAGATTGAAACTGCAACTGCACAGAGTGCATTTTTCAAGCCTATGCAGTTGAGGTTTCTGTCAAGAACAGTCGTGATACTGGCATTGACTTGAGTGCAGTTGACAAAGTGTTAAAAAGTATTTGGGGGTGAAACAATAATCGGCAGCTACCATCGGTTGGCAACCCTGTTTCGCCTGTCTGGAACATGTATTTCTTGTGTGGAGCTTGAAGACTGACATACATAGCACCAGCTGCGAGAAAAGGTGATCCTGTCAATGTGGTGCCTTTGACAACTCAAAGCAGACTTAAGGAAAAAAAAAGTCTTTTTGTTTTAAGTTTGTTTAGGTTTGCTTGAAAGAATCAGAAATAGGGGTGTGGGTTGTCCTTGTGCTGTGGTTGTGAGGATCGGGGTTTGCTTGCTCTGCTTTCTGGCTGTGTCTAGGTCTGTTCAGTTCTTCTTCTGTCCAGAGGACCCCAAACTGCTGGAATTACTTTGTTTTCTGAGATTCAGCCTCTGGGATTTTATGTGTAGCAGAGAATATGTGTGTGATGCCAAGAAATGCATCACGGGTGGGCACTGGGGGGATCAGAAGTGGGCTACCTGGTGGAGTGTATAGCTATGGCAAAATAATTGTCTAAGGCTAGCACAGATCTTTGCCTTCCTGCTGATTGTACAGAATTGCAGTCTCTTAAGATTATTTCCTCAGCTGGGGCTGTGTACTTTTCAAGACCCTTACTGTTCCCCTTAGCTAGGACACAGTTAAGCTTTCTCCCCGACCTCTCCACTGGAAGAAAGTGTTTTGGGGTGTGGTTTTTGCTTTTTACATCCCTCTGTATTTTAGTGTGTTCAAGTACCTCGAACTCTGTACCGTTGTCAGGCTGGTGCCATCACCAGCCTGCAGACGAGGATGAGACTCCCAGCAGAGGTGATCCGCTGCCCCGCTGGGGCCAGCAGGACCTCCCGCAGCGCTTGTCTCTGGTCCCGAGGGCAGCTGAGAAAAGTAGGTTGGCACATGTGGTACCTCAGTTCCTTTTTTCGGTTTCTAAATGGATCCAGGTGTGGAGGGTCTTAAATTGGAAAAAGGTTTGCCACAACCATTATTACTGCCTAGAACACTCATCTGTCTTTTGTGTTCCTGCTGGCTTTAGAAGGCAACTTTGTTACTTAGCTGTGAGTAAATAAACTCATTTATGTGGACACAGTATCTGGTTCTTTTTTACATTTGAGCTTAACTTTTAGTGGTTCCTACCATTAAGCTAGGCTGGGGAAGGAGAGCGAATCTCACAGCATTTTATTATTTCCGTTTCAGGCAGATGCTTGAAGTTGGCAAGAAAGTCATACATAAGCTCTTCTGCGCTGGCTGGACTGAACACAAGTTATCTTTGCAGAGATGCAGGGAGGTGTCATTTTATATGCTTTCATTTTTACATGTTATCACTTGCAGGGCTGATTTTCTTACAAAACAGGGGCTGATCCTGGCCAGCAGAGAGAGGTTTCCCTGCAAAAACTGGACTGGACGTCAGGACTCCTGACTGTTAGTGCTCGTAGCGGTTTTACAACTAGCTAGTCTCATGACAACTCTATCTAGCAGATCCATCAAAGAAAAACACTTTCTACAAGTTGTCCTTCATCTCATCTGGTGGAAAAAGCAGTTACAAGCTGTCTGTGCAGTTGAGGTCTTCATAAACGATAGTCTAATGATGTTCCATCTGAACCATTTTCTCGCCATTTGGTCTTAATTTGATTTATATTAATTTATTAAAAAGGTTACAATTTCAAGAGTTTTAGGTATAACAGGATTGTTCTCTGATTTTCCTCATATATACAATATTTCTATCACTTTGTCTTTCACCCTTGGACCCTCCCTGGCTAGAACAGACCCATTTTGGATTTGAATGAAGTAGTGCAGAAGGTTCTGCAGTTAAACTATGAGGGTGTGTGCTGGATGAGACAGATAAGGCAGATACATTCTCACAGTTACGGCAGGCTTTATTTGCTTCTGGAACTGGATTCTAATCTCGCCTGTGCCATAAACTCCCTGCTGATCAGGTCGTGCTGTGAACTTGCACGGGGCCCCTATCGGCTGTCCAGCTTGAAGCAGAATGAAAAGTTGCTGGCGGGAGGAGTGTCCCGAGTCCTGCACATCAGGGGTTGCTCTGCTGCATGTTGTGCTCTCAGAGCTCAAGTTAGCTCTTGGTGCATTCAGCTGCCTGGCTTTGTCTCGGGTCTCTGCGTGTAACACAGCGAGGCTGTTCTGTCCTAGGCTGGATACTTCAATAAAACAACCCTCCGATTTGCAGCTGCTAGCAGGTATGCTTTCAAAAAGGTGGCTACAAAGTTTAACGTACAGTTAGGGCTTGACCAAAGCAGTGCACGGAACAGCCGTTCCACCCAGTAAAGCAGGTCTGGGGCCGCACAGAAGGAGGCATTTCACAGCTGCAGTCATCTGTGCAGACAGAAACTGATTTGGAGTTGCAGAAGTAACCAGGCTCCTGTTGTTTCAGTGTGTTTGGCTGGGTAACTCAGTCCGTGTGTTTGATAGGTGCATTTTGCCTGCAAATTTACACTTTAGCAATTTAATTGAAGTACCAAAATCATTTAAGTACGTGACATGAATGGGAACTTGTATTTTCAGGCTTACTTATTGTATTCAAAGTGGGGGTGAGAAAGCCTGTTTTGATAAAGGAATGAAAAAATGTTTGCTAGAAGAATGGCAATTAAAATTTAACCTAATTCTCTTATTGCAATTATGTAGAAAAACGTACCCAGCACCTCTTCACGGATCTAATGTAGTATTTCAGTGCTGAGGAACTGTTCTGCAGTTAATAGTAAACTTCGTCACCAAGCTGTTCTGCTGACTGGTTTGCTGCTGTGAATGGGGCTGACAGCTCAGACAGCCTCAGCAGTTCATAAAACTGTTTGCTGACCTCCAGGTTTTGCTTTTCTGAGGAGAAAAGGCTACTCCTTAAAGAGGAGCTGCTGCTCCTTACAATGTCTCCCCAAACCACTGGTAGCAATTTGTGGCAAGATGATGGGTTTATAGTCAGATGTTTTTTCTAGCTCTGCCCAATTCTATTCTCTTCCCCATGCACACGGCTGACATATTCAAAAGAAGTCTAATACTAATACTCAGACTTTTCAGGTGTTCAGAGAAATAGCATGTAAGCTCTTGCAAATGTAATCTCACTTCTAGCCTGAATCTAGCCATCACAGCTTGTTAATGATGTTTCACGGGCTTGTCAGAATTCCTAGGTTATGTTACTGAGATGTTGTGTTTCACCTGACACTGAAGCAAGTCCAGTAGACTAACCTGATCTTGGAAAAGGTGACTACTAGTGGTTGCATAGTAGTTCCTGAAAATTCACGTAGAAAGTTGAATGCTGAAAAAGCCCAGACCTCATTCTCACATGTACAAGTAAGTGGCAGTGTTCTGGAGATGGTAATCTAGAACACTCCAGAAGACATTAAAAACCATTGAAACATTTACCTGGACTAAAATTAAGATGCTTTAACCTACACTAATTCATTCTTTGTAATCTGTACTGTTATTAATCAGATAACAAAAGGGGGATAGCATAGTTGCAGTGAAACTTTGTGAGCTTTAGTTTCTTGTTCTGCTACAGCTTCCCGTGACCTCAGATAAAGTTCAACTAGTTCCTAAACTTTATGCGCATGCAACTGTACAAATACTTTGTAGTGACAGGGAAAGAATGTAACATAATTTAAAAAAAAAAAAAAGAAAAACCATCCCAACCTGCCAGGTGTATTAAAGTCATGCCAGGTAGCTCAGTAGATTAATAAGGTCAGCACCAAAGTGATCCATCCTTCTGTCCCTGTTCAGTGAGGAGGAAAATGCTAGCTCCCTGCACCCAGCCTAACCCCTAGAATGTATCATTTGTATGTCAGCTTTACCCTAGCACATCCACAGATTAACACTTCTTTAACATCACTATTACAAGAGTTTGGAAGAATGTTCACAGATTTGTTTTTTATTTCAGCAGAATATGTACATATTTATCAAGAGAGACAATTCCACTATTTTCCAGAAGCATTTTCTTGGCCACATGGTCTTTATTGCTTTGTCAGTTTTTGTCCAGAGTTTCTTCTGTGGTCAGAAAACTACCCTTGCAAGTTCAAACAAAACCTGTGAAATAACAAACACATTATCAAATGATACATACTAATCTTTAAAACAAACAGCTTACACTTTAAACCAGATAATCTGGAAAGTAACTATAGCTGCAACTCCAAAGTTACTTGCAAAGAACTAAAGAGTAATTCCATTGTACAGTACATTACACAAATAAGGTAATATTGATTTTCAAGTTATGAAGTCTATAAATTGCACTTTTTACTGAATTCTTCAGTGTGACAGTGGGGAAAAGGAACCAACCTCTATGGTGATGAGTATTACTATCATCCACTCAAGGCGCAGAGCGTGTTTCTCATTCAGGTGATTTCTCATTAGGTCTGTCAACTCCATGCAGTGTTGAAGCTTTTCATTCATTACCTGAAACAGATCCCAAGCATGTGGCAAGGCTGGATTCCACAAATTGTATGACATAGCTAAAGAAACACAATCCTCAAAGGGGCTTACTGAATGTAACTGCAGAAACGTGTTAATGCTTCTGCAAAAGAACTAACGGGGAAGTCTGTAAGGCAGCGTGCACAAGCAAGGGGAGTTTTCATACAAACAACTTATTTCAATGGGTTTTAGATAGGCATCTCCAGGTATTAAGTAGCTACTAGGTGATTTCTAGTCATGAAAGCATGCAAGAGAGGATGACGCAGCTTATGGGAATCCCTCAAAGGTAACTAAGTCAATATTTAAGGTTGCTGTACCACTGGAAAAAGTTCACACGCTTCTTACTCTGGTTGAGCAGTAAGCATTGCGCTGCCCTGCAGTGAGCTGACCTGGATCATCATGTCAATAAGAAGACTGCTTCAGATCTCTTTTATAAAATTTGTTTTCTTGCACAAGTTTCAGAACAAGAATTAAAGCTCCTCCTCTCATAACTATTTAAAGCCAAATTGAGTGGCTTGGAAATAAGCAATCCATCCATTTAAGTCTACATGGTTGAAACAAGGTCATTGACCTAAAGTAGGTAAAAGATGTAAGTGGGTTACAAACACAAAGAAAAGGGAAGAGTGTATAGGATCCTACTGTGCTTTATTCACCTTCTACAGTTAAAACAGACATTCACGGAGCAGTCTAGCTCTGCTAAGCCAAAGACAACTGATTTGGGTATTCTTAACAACAATAAGACACTTACCTTGACTCTGCGATTAATGTTGAGAAACTGGCAAGTTTTGTCATAAAGCTCTTCCAGTTTTTCTCTGTCCCAGTAGAAGTCAGGTGTTATCAGCAGGTCGGAACTCAGATTTATGCGGTGTCTAAAAAGAATGGTTACTGCAGTATTTCAAAGTTCTTTGGGTGCATATAGGAGTAAATATTTACATAGTGGTTAGAAGAAAAATTATGGAAAGCTTTTCTTGTTAAATAAAATATGAAAACCTCTCCTTTCATAATAAAAATATTAACATAGTTATTGTTTAAAATTGGTAACATCATCTGAAACTTTTCTGAGAACACTTTAATATGAATCATTCTTTTCATTGTTTTTGCCTTATGGCAACACTCCTTGACCTGAAGTTCAAGAAGGTGACAAGCTGAGGAGGGAGTCCTTCACTATGCTAGTAGCTCACTGAAGCTGAAGTACCTGAATTAAAGTTACTCAGGGAGGTCTGTAACAGCTTGTTTCTATTTCAGAGCTCTGAAACGTGAATGACACCACACGCTGGGTATGTGAGCATAGCTCAGAACCAGGCTCCTGGCTGAGCATTATAAAGGCAAGGAGCTAAGATCTCCCACCTTCAGCCTACTGCTCACATAAATCCTTGGACTTTTAGGCCATCACTGTGTGTTACAGAAGGGTCCTCCAAGTAGGATGATAAAATCTACTGTTTAAGATAGGAATTGTTTTCTTCATTTACCTCTTTCTTCACTTTTTTTTTTTTAAATGCATACTATTGTGTATTCCTAATGGCCAAGATATGCTTGAGAAGGAAAAAAAAACAACAAACATTAAATCCTTGCAATGTACCAGTGGCTTCTGAGTGAATCTAGGGGAAGAACATAACTTGTAGAAGAGGCCAAATCCCTGAAAAGCTTTAACTGTAGACCATAGTTAATAGCTCTACTTAACCCCCATGCTTCCTCCTAGTATCATTTTGCATACTGTTATAATTGCAGGTTATGAAACATGCCTTGCTGTACCTAGAAAAGAAAAAGGACATGGAATTTGGCCATTTATAATATACTGCCTAATGCCTACCTATAGTTGAGACACCACAGTGAGAGTGGTGAGGCATTGGGAAGCACAGTCCTCTGACCATGATAGCACAAACACTGCCTCAAGCCATAAGGTGGCTGAGGGAATCCCACCCACAGGATTTAGGCCAGACTGTAAACTACTCCAAAGCTTCAAGTGTATCCCAGTCTTTGTACCATGCACAAGATGATTTTTAAGTTCCGTGTAATACAGTGTCTTTGGTGTAACAAAAAAATGTTACCTTAATGCAAAGAGTTCTCCAATTTTCTGCATGACATCTGCATGAGACAGTTTCACCTTTCTTCCTGATTTTAGTATCTGCAAAGTAACAAGTTTTTCACTGCTTGATCAAATAGCATGAACTGTAGGTTAAGAAGTCTCACATTCTCATACAGCCTGAAGTAGGTATGAGCTAGAATCTGAATGCATATCATACTTGTTACAACACTTAAGTTTTGTTTGAATGGTGCCTTGCTTATCTAGCTTGATAAGGGTATCACCATTCACCTGTTATTCTGGGTTTTCAGCAAGCCACCAAGTAGGCTGTCAGTGTCAATACAGGATCCTGGAATGTTTTCTATGAATGGTTTCCTGAACAAGAGATCATTTGTCCTCTCTTACTACTATTGCTATTTTTAAGTCATGACAGTGTTCTTTTACCTTGCTACTTATTTGTCCTTTCTTAGAGTTCTTCCTCACTTAAAGCAAACGATGTATTACCAATTATTTTTTTCATTAAAAATAAAGGAAGATTTGTCTTTTGAAGCCTATGAATCTAATTTTTAAATGCAACATGATATGGACTTTGTATTTTAATTAAGCCTCGTGGAAACACTAGTCTAAGTAACTCACTTGAACTCTTCATTACATTCAGGTTATAGCAGACTACTCTGAGGCCAAGCTGCCACACACACTGTTTGGCCAGGTTTTTAAATGCTGCTTGTCCTGTTATGCATTAATGTCCCGCAGCAGCAGCTGACAGTAGCACAACATGGGAAACATTATTCCAATGCACACTCCCACCATCACCTCCCAGCCCTTTAAAGACTGCTTGTTTCTTGTCCCACCTCTTTGCAGGTTTTCTGAGCTTGTGTGTTAATGGCTTTGCCATCAAATGTATTAAGCACACAGTTGCTTTTGCCTATATCCTCAGCTATACCTGGACAGATCTTTTAACATAGCACAAGGAAAAGAGGAACAGAAAGGTACAAAGAAAACCTCACCTCAGGAATTGACTGGATTGACTCTACAAAATTGTCCAATAATGATTCCCAGATAGCCAGTTTTACTGTAACACAGAGGTGACAAAGCAGAATGCTGAGAGGTAGGTATATGCTTTCAAGTGATCTTAATTTACATCTACCAACACACTGTTTCAAGATGCTACAGATAGGTTTGTATCAACACGTAAGAGACCATTAGTATTTTATGATACAAGTTCATACATCTACAGACAAATTCAGGTTTTGTATTGACACAGCTTTGCATGCAGAACCACCTCAAGCTCAGCTCTACTCTCCAATGGACTGGTTCAGATCCTGGAGAAGCTCTGGTTCAACTTAACAAGGTGTGTTTGAGTGCTGTGTGCTGCGTGTGAAGCCTTTGCAAACTGCATTCCAAGGAGGCATGCTGGAGATAATTAGCCTTGCAGGAATCAGGCTGACTTCAGCTGGTGCCCCTTGAGTCTCCACTTTTTCTACACATTTCTACAGCGTTGTGCAGAACTTTAACTTCCTGTTTGTCCAGTACTTGATGCAGCATGCTCAAACCATGGAGAATTAGCTTGTATAGACAGACACACCATCACCTGTGTTTGTTGAAGCTAAATTTAAACTTAGGCAATCTTAAATTTTGTTTTAGTGAATATATCATTCACTGAAAAGATAATTATCTTCAGTGGAAGTTGTTCAGCATACACAATGCCAACACAAGTTCTACTCTGTCTCAGCTTGAGCCTTAAAGGATGATTTCTACAGGGAAATGATACAACTCAGGCTCTTTGTTCTTTTATCCTCAGATTCCCAGGCAAGAATGAAGTAATGACACATCAGTTTTAAAAAATTAACCCTGTTCACTCAGAAAAATTAAACAGATAAGGTTTATTTCTCAAAACAAATGCTTTTTGGTAGTAATTGTGCACATCATTTAGTCAGGACACACAGTAAACTCAATGCTGAGCATCTTTCATGGTCTTTTTTGAGTACAGAGGCCCAATCCAAGTCAGTGAGTTAAACGGCATTTAATTTAGCCCTTGAAAAGAGGCCAATAGGCATTTCAGCTATCGCTGATTATTTGACAGAGGTTGGTTTCTGCTGTGTTGTACATTTGACTTGGACTACACTTGCATCCTCTGTTATAATCACTGAACATTGCACTGTCTTCCTTTATGGTATACATGTCTAACACTACCATAAATTGGTACCAGTTATCTCCTGGGAATAAATCCCTTGCTCCGTTGTATGTGGCAGCACTCTTCCATGCAGTGGTTTTATGAATAGCAAAACTATAGAGAACTAGAGGCTATTTTTCCCCTCACTATTTCAATAGCTCTTTCTTCAACGGTCCAAAAACCATTTAGTTACACTGTATGCCTTGATCAAGTGGTGGATCGCTTCAAAAACACGCATTCTGGTTTTTGATATCTCTCCTGTTGCAAGGTGTTCCTCACATACTACATGAATTTTGTCATTCACCCTAAAAGCAGTAGAGGTAGTAGGATTTTCTTCCTTAAAGGTCTTTTTGAAGATGGCCCCTTATTGCTGCTAGCTTCTATTCCCACTTCCTACCTCACTCTAGGTCTGAAGCAGCAGAGAGATTTCCTCAAGCAGCAGCATCACTGCTGAGCCTGACTTCTTTCCAGTGCCTCCTGATGGAAGCACCACCTGTAGCATAGTCGTAGCTAATCAGCCTGGAAACCATTATCTGGTTTCTCCAGTCCACGCACTTCATACTGGTATGCTTCCCACACCAAGAGTCACTGCTTTACATTACTACCTGCTTTAGCTGGTATCTATTTTTTTTTTTTTCTGGTAATGATTTCAGGATCAATTACCTAAGATTACTGACAGCTTTCTAATTCCGGACTCTACACTTGTTACTATCCTAGAATAATCTGAAAGATGGGCAACAGTATGCCCAGTGGAACGTTTGTCTTCTGCAAAGTACGTTTCTTAATTTGCTTTGCTCATCCTTAAGAAGATTTACAGTGAGCTAAGTAATTCCAATTTACGGAAAACAAAGCAAAAGCTTTGAAAACTAATCCTCCCACTGAAGCACAATCTTTACACAGTTCACCAAACCAGACACTAAGTCTTCAACCTCTCTCTGTTCAAATCCCATTTACAACCACATTTCACAGAATCTGTACCATAGGTGGATATTACAAACAGTATTAACTTACCAGAAAGACAAAGGGCATTCGAAAAGGCAAATTTCTGCAGAACAACTTCATCGATATCCAGCTCAGAATTTAACAAGATTTCTCCCTTATGAAGTTTTGACTGCCCTCTGTTAAAACAGGATTGAAGCATCTTCATTGACTAAGCCACCAGAAAAGGAACATTTAAAGAATAATCAACAATGCAGGTAAGGTTGGTTGTTTTATATAAATCATGATGTATCTATATGGCTATCACCCCCATCCTTGCATTTTACTCATGTTCAAACTGACAGCAACCAAAACAAATCACTGAAAATTAGTTCTTCAGTCTAAAACTATGTCAGGAATCACAAATGCCAGATCTGGATAGTCCACAGTATTCAAAAAGTGAGGAAAAAAAATAAAAGACCCCTTGGCCTCTTACCAGGTTACCTTAAATAAGCTGAGCTGATATGTAACAGCTTATGTTGTTACACTGTCCTATTTAGGAGCACAGTTTTTTTTCTGTGCTGTTAGAAAAATTACAGATAAATTACACAATCAGTTACATTGAAAAGTATTTCCATAGGGATACTTTGCTCCACATGATGAAAAAAGCATTTAACAAAGCAAGACAGCTTGCCAGATTCATCCTGCCATAGTATTCAAGTTGCACCTTTCCTAGGAAGCAAAGTATGTGCAGAATGCTTCTTTGTATATGAACCTACAGGGCACTGAAGAAAGCTGACCCAGAGAAGTTTTGTTCCTTCTTTAAAATCAGAGTTGGCTCAACAATATGTATTTATTTTTCCTGTGAGGTACATGGGTTCTGTTTAGGATTGTTCTGTTGTTTGGCACGTTCAGTTGTGCAGACACAGACCTTCTTGATTTACAAAATTTATTGTATAATCAAGTCCTAAAGGCCATTACTTGAAAGTTTAGCAGTTCAACAAAATTTGTGAATGTAGATGTACTGTTTTCTCCTTTCCCTATTTTTACTCATTTGAAATAAGAATTAAAAAGGTGTATTTCTACTAGTTACTTTTATGTGAATTTGTTGTAGATGTCTATTAGCTTTTAGATAAACACGAATGCCTGCAGATACTTACTCTCCTATTCTATAGTTCATCTCTTCATTCTCCCAATGGACGAGTGCAACTTCATATGGCTGAATTTCATGCTGTTCTAGCACTCGCATTATATTCTTCATCTAAGAAAAAGACAATTGCACAGAGGAGCAGTTACTACTGTAGTATATTATCACTCTACAAAGAACTAGCACGTAACAGGCTGATGAAAGCAACTTCCATGCTTATTAAAGTTATTTAAATAAAAATGAATAGGTGTGCGAGTAATTTTTTGTATTCAAATGAAGCAACTATTAGCAGCTTATTTCTGAAGCCACGTGGATGAATTTTGTGGCTGTGAACAACTGCAAAGAATCTATTAAGACTAAAGTATCATTTAATATCTACGTTTACAAAATAAGGTAGGGATTAACCAGAGCAGCAGTAATGACAATGCAGAAATATTCAGTATTATAACAATGAGCTGTACAAAACTTCAGCACATGTCTGAGTGTGGGAATGAATCTTTAGGATAAATACATCAGGTGGCTGCTGCTACCAAAATTACTAGTTTGCTAAAATTAGTTTTGTTTCAACTACCAGAGGTCAGGTCATGTTACAGAAGTCCTTTCCCTATAGAAATTAAAAAAAAAATAATAATAGTTTCAGCTGCCTAGAGTCAGCCCTGTAAGCAGTTGAATGTGCAGCTCCACTTGGAGGAGTAATCTCATTGTCATTTTATTCCCAAGCACACTAAAACCTGATGCAGGAATAATGAGCTCTTCTCTCTCACAAAGCATTTTCCTTTAACTCAGGATCTCCCATTCTTGTTCTTCTGTCTGCATTAAAGCCTCCTATCAGATAAATTGTTCTACAATTAGAACAAATTCTGAACTGAAAAAACCCTCATCTATAGCATGCACATACAGGTATCTAAAAATCATCTAACTGCACAACAGCTACTAACACAATATACTTTTGGTGCCTAAGTTCTTTAAAGAGGTAAAGTTTCTACTTAGTGATGCTTAAAACAATCTCTTTAAAACACTGTACAATAGTTAATCTTGCAGCGCATACTGTATGTCAATAAATTGTCCCCAAAGCACTTCCTCCAGGTTAAGTACATTAAAAATCTGTTGGATCACCTGCAAGAAACATTTTTCTTTGCAGACTTTGTTTTCTTCATTACTTTCAAGAATTTCAGTGATCCTATCTAAGACATGACAACATTTTTCACTGAAAAACATACAAAAATACCCTTACATATGCAACTGCTTGTTTCATACCCCTGAATGTAATACTAGCATGTCTAATGCCTGCTGTATATTCCCAATATTGTGGTAAACAAAAGTATGAAAAAATACACTTTTTTTTTTCCTCCAGTGAGGAAGTGTATGCTGTTAGGCCAGTCAGCTTAGATACACTGCTTCGAGGCACAATTCAGCAATGCAAATCCTGCTAAAACAATGCCAGAGCTAAGAGCCAACCTGTAACATAGCATGCCAGATTTCAAGAGTGCACTCACTTGGGTCCAGGCAGCCTAGCTGGCATTGTGGAGCCTAGTATCAATATAGTAATAGTTATGCTGTTAATACGTTATTACTCTTCCAGAACTACAACCAGCTCAGGCTTCCCAGCACCAGCACAAAGTAAGATTTAACAAAGCTTTACAGACCATAACTGATTCTGCAGAATTGATGTGTCTTGTATTACGCATATTTCCAAAGTTCTTCCATTGCTCTGAATAATAGGAAATCATGTTTCAGTGGCAGCTTTCTTTTAAAGAAATACATTAGTTTCCATTGACTGATGTAAGTTTATTCTAGGCCCAGCCTTATTTTACAGAAGGGACCACTTGTGATACAGTACATCTAATGAGATGTTCTGGATTCACTAAATGCAAACCCTTCCTATTTGAGACAATTGCTTCACAGTTTCCTTTTAACAACATACATGAACTCCACCTCGTTTGGCTTTTTGCCCTTACTACTTCTGGTGGAGAAGCTAGTGCACAGCCTTGCTGTTCAGGTACTTGAGAAAAGTATTTTACACTTTTAAGTCCTATTTACGATCAGCCTGTAGCTATAAATTGTTCTGTTAAGCGGCCATTTGTTTAAAATAGTTTTTCCTCCCACAACAATCATTCTGGAGTACTTTCAAAGAGCAGTTTTTTCCATTCACATTGTCTCTACACACTGTTTTACTGAATTACTTTCAGTTTCATTTCTACAGACCAGGTCTTTGTATTGTTTTGGTTCATTAACATTTATGCATAAAACATACCATTTATGCATAAAACATACCTCCTTGTTTAAGCAAGTTGTTTGGAGTTAAAACTTTGACAATGAGTTCAAAAAGCAGAAAAATGCAGTTTTCCTCCTGTACAAACAAGGCTGACAAAGGACCAACTAAAGTTACTTCTACTGACAAAAAGATTGTGGTATCAAGTTTTCAAAGTTACTTAAGCATGTAAAAATGTACAAGAAAACGAGATTTTTCAGAGTACCCCAGAAGGCAGAGGTGCCCAATTCTATCAACAGGAGTTAGTCAGCTAGTCTTCAGAAATGCCAGTGACCCAGTAGCACAGTTACAGCCACTGCATCCCAAATGGGCTACAGGCAAGGTTTGAAGGGAAAGCTAGTATCTGTTTGTAGGCCTGCTGATGTACTGAAACTCCCCAAAACAGACAGGAAATTGGGCACATTTCAGGTCTGAAATGGAAAAAGCAAACTTGAATCCAGAAGTTGTTCACATCTGGAAACAACGGCTCTGTATTTTCATTTACCTTAATTAAAATCCTCCTATGAATATCTGTGCATCTCCCTGCCATGCTCAGTATATGCCAACTACTTTCATAGACCCTGCCTACAGATAAGATCAATGCCTTTTCTTTATGTATCTAGTACTCAGCTTTATTTAACCACAGCAAACAAAATGCATAGATACAACATATTTTAAAAGTGACTATAAATAGATTCATAAAAATAAATATGTCTTTAGCATTCCCCTCCTGGTCAGCGAAGAGCACTGATTTATCCCAAGGGATATGTATGTTATTTTGGTATCTATGTATTTTAACAATTATTACCATCCTATAAAAACTTTCCTTAAGGAATATTGCTGTTAGAAACACCCACAAAAACAAACAAACAAACAAACAACTGTTTACAAATTTGGCATGTTTCAAGTTAACCAAATGTAAGCTTTGGATAGTAAGTTTTGCAGTTTTAAGATCCGACTTAAATGTCACTAGAACGATCCTTTTCTGCTGATTTATTTCCTGTTACATTAACTCCTGTTAAACAACCATTCATGCGTCGATTTTTCTGATCTACTTCTTCAGTACATAAAACTGCAAGAATTTTTTGTCAGTCTCACAAGATTAAGGTTTCAGATTTTTGGCCTTAAGTAGAAAATTTCATCCCCTTTGTATGTTATACATCTGTTTGCTTATTTTGTGCAGAAAGACGGGTTTCAAAGGTGATACAGCAGCAAGCCACACACCTGAGGGCAGCTGCACTTCTTAGGAGAAGAATCAGTCCTCCTCCTTTCTGGAGAGATGCAAACTCTCAAAACGAAAGCATGCTGGGCTTTGTGGGACTAACAAGATATCTCACTATGAAGCTTTAGCGAACAGTTGTGCTTTACTTACACTTTTCTCTTCCACATTCCAAAACACAACAGCCCCTTCCCTGTGAATTCAAGGAAAAAACTGAGGTGTAATTGCACTGTTTTAAGTATATGATCAATTTTGTATGATCAAGTGTGTTATCATTTTTTTTGATTCATTCTGATTGAGCTACATGCAATGATCTAGCAAGCTGCACTTTCACAGGATTGCTATTAATAAAATGTTTAAAAGGTAAAAGGTGTAGTGTTTAACTTACCTGAAGAAAAAAATCATGCCAGCATCATCATCTTTTGCAGATTTCTCAGTACCAATCACCAAAACATTTGCAGCATCTAGTTTGAAACAAATAAGCAAAATAAAAGTTCAAAATGAAGAATTAATTACACTTCTAATCATGACAGCTATAAGCATATGATTCCAGCTCAACAGTTACATGCTAACACTTTCAGAGTCAGTCCCATGTCTTATTTTTCTGGTTAAACTGTGACAATATAAAACTATGCAGCTTCTCTAAAGTGCCACATGCTACACAGACTCAGCTGCTACGTTAAACTTTGCTATAAACTGGAGTTAATGAAATATAACAGCTTTAAAGAACTTAGACAAAACCAATGCAGGGCATATTAAAATAACCAGGAACAGAATACAGAAGGCAAAAGTGGACATGAACACAAGTGAACTATAGAAGTTGGCCCACAGTTGCAGACTAATGACCACTCAAGTTCTGCTTGCCCAGAAGACCAAAATCTCTCTTTTCTATACAACAAGGGGCTAATTTTGCTGACTTTGCTTTGATAGTCAGAAACCTGAAAGAGCATACCCTCAAGGCAGCAGAGGGAACATCCATATTTCCCTTTGGATCAGAAGCATGCTTTTGAAATAAATCCTCCAGTCTTCCCTTCGTTCACCACGCTTTCGGTTTGCACTGCAGAAGCGTCAGGGTGCACAAACTGGATTTCTTTTGCATGAAATTAAACTGGAAGATGAGCTCCAGCACTGCACTTAAGGTACTCCAGCCATGCTAACAGGCAGTCATTACAGAGGACCAGACTCTTACACCAGCTGGTGCAAGCAGAAGGCCCCCCAAATGTACTCAGTGTGGGTGCTGGGTGCTCAAAACAGTTCCACTCCCCCACCCTTCCCCTGTAGCTGCTCCCCTGTACTGCTCTGCCAGCGCAGGCGTAGCTTTAGAAGCCCTGCTGTGGTTATGCCAAGGAAAGTTCACTTTCCAGTGTGACTCATTTTACCATTGGTAGCCAGACCAGCAAAACCTCCCACCTTTATTGTGAGCTGAGACTCTGCAAAGACAAATTTGCAAGGCCTAACACCTAAGCATTAAAAAGCTCAACCCCTTTGCATAAATATCACAAAGCAATCACCAATGCACCAATTTAGGTCTGGGTATGAACTCCTGCATTTGCTTTACTGCTGAAGTCACAGAGGCCAGGCAGCCTAAGCAGGCAGGAAGAGATGACTGAATACTGGCCATACTTTTGCTAACACAGAACTCGAGACCATGCAGTTAGTTGGTCTGTATGAACTCTTCAAAGATCTCTCTTTCACTTGCTATTCCAATTCAGAAACATATGACTCGATGAATCACTGGAGCGAGCTTTGGGTGTGAAGTGGGAGTTCACCACAGAAGAAACATTTGTCTGCATTTTCTCATTTGCCTTTTCAAATATCACTCTTACTTTATCAATCCCCTCCAGCTAGAACATGTACAGTGAATGTGAATTTGGTCCCTTATAAATAGTGCTACAGTCAGACTAAAATGTTTTTAAAGGGGTCAAAAAAAATAAAAATAGGGGGAACACTACAAAGCAACAAATCCACACAAAGTTTTCTAATTTAGATTTCTACGTGCCAGTACTTCTCAAGTTTCCAAGATGTAACATTCAGCTTGGTGACTTAGCACTGCTACATCCACGTGTCAACCACCACAAAACGTCACATCTGCTGGCACTATCAAACATTCTTTCCTTACTTCCTCCAAACTTCTGGCAGAGTATCTATTGTAAGGAGTCAAAAACACACCAGGAATAAATGAAAGAACTGGCAAAACTCACACTTTCAAGGTAAAGTACCAGCAACAGCACTATTTGCGTTACAGTAACTCAGTTGTGCTGAGGATTGTACAAAGTTTCTATCCTGAAGCAGTGAAACCAGCGTTTCTGTAACACAAAGGAACTAACTACAAAGGAACATGATGCCTGTATTATATAGCACCTTTTCTTTCCACATTCACCTTTCTGAGAAATACAGCCATTACTAAATCTTGCATTTTAAAAGATCCACTGGATTATTATCACAGCTGGTTTATTGGGTGTTTGAGAGTCAGCCAGGTATTTGATAACCTCTACTGAAATGCACATAAACAATATTTGTCATTCCTCTTAGCTTTATATAATCTGTTCATTCACAAAAAATAAATAAATCTACTGCCAACATATGAAAATCGCAGCTGTTCTGGGGCATCGGGTTCGTTAAGCTATAAAAAGCTCCATTTGTTTTTCTCCTGGAGTATCCTGCAGCTATTTCCACACCATACTTTCCCAAGTCTTCAGAGATACTTCGAAGAGAACCAGAACCAATTACTTTGCTGCAGGGACTCATCCAGCTAGGGTATGTTTGGCCAGTATGAAGTGTCAACTGCGTTCTCTTTACCAGAATTAAATTGGTATGTACATCTCTTTTACATTGCACTTAGTCAGCAAGACTCTCTCTTGCGTGCCTCCAACCCTCAGTGATTTACGTTAATAGAAGTTTGGGTATGGAAAGAAGGTGCAACACTTCCAATTACAACGTTGCTTGGCAGACGAAGCACCATGGCATCACGTACTGAAACACTGGTTAAAACAAACTTTCAGAAAATTTTCAGTTGGCAGATTTCTTGAAAAGCCGTATTTTTAGTATTAGAAATTAAAAAAAAATATTTTTCTTGAATGCATTTCTAGGACTAAGTTTTCAATAATTTAGTGTAACAGTAATTTGAGGAAAAAAATCATCATATGGTAATAGCAAGAGCTGGTTATACTGCTATTCTGGAAGGCTTACTTATTTATTTTTAAAGTAAATGGAACTTTTAGATAGAGCTACCTGTATATTACAAGTACCAAGATGTATTCCAGGGTATTAACACAATAAGAATATGTGAAGTTGTAAAAATTATTTACCTCACCCGTATTTCATTTAACGAGATATAATATTGTTTTTAAGATGTTTTAAAAATCTACCTCTAGGCAAACTTGTTATTTCAACATATCCATGTGAAGTCAGGTCATGACACAGATTACCAAGATGATACTCATCTGCTGTTGCAAAGGCTGTGCACTGCATCAGATTCTGTGCCAAAGGAACAAAGATTCGAGTTAGGGAAAGGCTGAAGCAAGATGTTCATAAGACACGTTCATGTTTGCCTCAAATTAATCATGAAAGCGACACTTTTCATTTATTCACTCTTTTCTACTAATCAGCATTGCTACGCTGTCTGCTTCGTGTACAACTACTAATGAGGTTACTCCCTGCTAAGTGGGGAAGAAAACCTATCTGAGGTTCACAGAGAGACCAAACCACGTAATGTGAGTCAGTCACACCAAAAACCTGTGTGACAGAGCCACGAACTGAGCCCTTCTGCCCTGAATGCCAGAGAAATGCTCTAACAGGAGAGCTGCAGTTGCTCTCACATCCTAAACTCTCTGATATACATGGTCGACCATCAAAACCAAAAGCAAGACACCCTCAATAGCAGCTTAAAGACCTGTGAAGACACATGGAGCTGGACCACCCCAGCCTGCCTAGGAAGCACCACAAGCTCCCAGAGCAGCAGTCTGGTCCCATCCTGCCCAGGACGGAGCTGGCTGTGCAGGCAGCTCCGGGGACAGCACAGAGCCACAGGTCGGGGCCAGCTGCAGATCAGTGTCCCCTCCCTGAGGGGAATCCTGTGCTAACAACGCGGCCTCGGCTGAAACCACGGCCGAGCTGAATGCAACAGCCAGTTTGTCTCAGGATCCCACAGCTTAAAAGAAATAAAATGCTGTAGTGGAACAAATAACTGGCACACTACAAGAACATGAGGAAAAGGGGTGCTGACTTGCAGCAGGACTGACTCACGCATGGCAAAGGCATCAGAAAGTCATCTGTGTAAAAGCTTTCCTGATTAATCCGACAGGTCACCATAAACCGACCTACGAACTCTACTCCTCATTTTAAGGGGATTTCTTTGTTCTGATACCCTGTATTTCCCATGATAATGTTCTTCAGTACACTGCAATGGAAGATATCCAGACAGCAATGCTTCTCACTGCGGGTCCGTCACTTTCCAGCTTTTTGTAACTAATACAAAGGGGGATGTAACTAACAACAAACCAACAAAAGAGCTGTTCCCATCTGCAAGCATTTATACCCACAATACACTTCAAATCCAAATGACTTTCTCGCTGCACTCATACACCAAACTGCAACACCTGAGGAGATGTTTTGCCCCTGAAGGGGGCCCTCCACCACTGATCGGGAGCAAGGCCATGCACTTAACTTCATTTTCTTTTTTCACTTTAACTTTCTGTTATCATTTCTAAAGTTTTGTTTACACATCATCTTAGTTCAGTGACCACTAACAGAAAATACACTTTAAAAGTAATTCAGTATTCAGACAGCAATTTTGTAGATGTATTTCCATGACTAGGCTGAGTCAACAGTCGAACAGAAATGTATTTTCAGTTTCCTTGCTGCAGTACTTTTGAAAAGTTACATTATTACTGTATCATCTATAAAAAAAAGCAACCAACATTCTCAGTATCTATTCAGGAAATATACTGTAATCTAGCTAGTAATAATCTGAAAGTCTTTATCCTGCTCTATACTTTTCCACAGTTAATTTTGTTATTGTTCTTTTCAAGGCAGATGCACTAGAGGACAGACTATATCTACTGCTGTGATTTTACTTTCCAGGCAAAGACTGTAGCTAGCACCAGAAGCTGGCTGCCAAGACTAGGTGCCTGAATCAGCAGTTTGAATATGCAGTATGTTGTTCTTTTCTTTCTTTCTTTTTCAGTAACAGTGTACTGTTTCCCTTTTACTAAACTCTTGTTTGGTGGGGGACATTTGGACTGGGTATAGAGTTTAAGGTACCTAAAATTTGTGCATCCACAGACACCCTAGAAATCTACTCTCCCATGATAGCTGATGGAGATGGAACAGAGATGTCTGTAAGCTAACGAGTGATTCAGCTAATCCTAACATACAGGTGTTGACTTGTTACCCGTAGGTTGTGGATGGTGAGCTATGTGGGTAAACCTCCATCCCGTGCAGCCTGTTACACCCTCACCTACACACTTGCCTGAACAGAATGGAAGGTCTGTCTTGGTGACACCAACTCCAGCCACTTGCCACCCCCTGCTTCCTGGCTGTGCCTGGGGATTCACTCAGGTTCAACTCAGAGCCCCACAGCAACTATCCCATTAGCCATCCTAACTACTTCAGCAACTCATTCTCCATATCATCATGCCCCCAACAACTGCACAGGAACCATCATTCTCTGGTTAATCCATCCATCTCTTTCATTTTAAGCATACAAACATTTTGAAGAAAGAAAAGCTGCAAGATGAACTTAACCCTCATACCACCACAGGAATCAGTCTTTGCCTCCAGGACACTAGCAACCACATCTTTAATTGAGTTTCACGCTTTTTCTAGAGTATATATGGCCAGAGCATTAAAAATCAGCTCAAAGGCTTCTCATGCCTTCAGACCTTGCAGTATCAGTAACTAACCCGAGTCGTGGCACTAGGGACTGACTAAACCAGTTACCACTTTAAAGCAACTCTTCCACCTACCCTGAAGAACTGGTCTCCAACCATTTATCACTGCTGGTGCTCGGCATTCCAGCTGCAGGCAGCACATGGAGTGCAGGCAAGGGGTGGGAAGGAGCTTATTCACAGACAATTCGGCAAAAGGAAGGTGTTAATGGCCCTTCCCAACAGAAACCAGAGACCCTCAGGGTTCATCTAACTGAAAACCTTCAGAATGGGTCTAGAGCTGCTGTCTCCAGAGGCAGACTATGAAGGAAGGGACACTGCAGCCAGCTCTCAGGCAACTGCAGTGGAAATAGGGCCTGTGTTACTGGAGGGTTCTTGGTTCCCCCACCATATGTAGAGGAAGACAGGATCAGCTTTTTTGTGACAAAGGATTTAGAGAATAATGACGGCGTGTTGAAAAAAAACACAGGGCCTCTCTGTTTGCTGTACTTGTATTAGTCATAGTACAGAAAACGGTAGCATCTTTAAACTAACTCTTTATCTCTTTATACTAAGTACCTATAAGGAAGTACAAAAACAGGTTAAAAAAAAATAAATGCTTGTTCCAAAGTACTATCAGCCTGTGCACAGTCAGGGTGACAGCATGTCAAGTACCTCTGAAAATGGAGCTGTGTATTTGCCAAAACCACAAAGGGTTTATTCAAAAATAGAAAATGCTTTGTTAGGCCCGAGTTTATGCGATTTCTGTAATGAAATAATAATGATCTTTCCTATCAGGCAGAATTTTCTCCATCTCTTCACAGTGGAAAAAAGTAAAAATAGCAGTAAAAATAGCAGTGCATATTACTTGTACACATGTAAATGAAAATGTCAAACAAAAACTTTTAGCATTTCATACTGCCATTCAGAAACCTCAAAAATCTAATTAAGAAACGTCACTTCAATCCACCCCACAAAAAAGGAAGTAACCTCTACATATAATGTCATAGTACAAATAACAAGCTTAAAACAGCATGTGGTGATTTAGGACTAAAATTCTTCACTTTCTGTTTTCAGAGTAATAGGAAAACTCAAGTGGGAACTAAATTTTCTACAATGGAGCCTCAATATCACATTAAGTCTTACTCCTGATAATCATACAAAAACATTAAATGGAGTTTGCAGGAGTAGAAGGCAAGCGTTAAGACCTCGGTGCTCACATTCAGCAGATATGCAATAGGCAGATTTTGCAATGCGGAAGCTGCTTCTGAAAGCACAGTGCTGGTCCCAGTCTCGTCTATAGCACTATTTTGTTAACAATACCCTGGAACTCTGCTGTTATGGTAGCTTGAGGAGAACAATAACATTTTTGACACCAGGATATTTTCCTTGTAGATGTTATATTTAAGTACACTCACAGTCTGCTTTGGCTAGTAGTAAAGGCTTTCAAAGACCTGTCTTAAGGATTAAGAGCTACAAGCATACGCTGTTCCACTTACTCACCCTATAGATCTGAGTTTATCCCAAATGTTTTGTTGATGAAGTTACTCTGTAGTTCTAGTAATCTGGTGATCCAGGTGCTATTTCTACACTTGGAATAATCTTCCTCAAGTAACGCAGGCTATGTCTGCACCTCAGTTCTGCCATTGACAGAACAGAAATGATCCTCTCTGAAATACTGTGAGGCTTCACATACTAAGTGTTATGATCTCCATCCAGATATTCCTAGAAGAACTTATTTTTATCACTAAGAATAAAATTGAAATAATTTTGCTGTAGTATTAAAGCTATTTCACTATAGTTTGAAATGCTGTGACCGTTTATAAAAAAAAAAAAAAGCAGCAATACTTGAGAATACAGCCTAAATCAAAAGCTTCTGAAATCTAATCTGAATATTTATAAGCTCTTTATTATCTACTTTCATCTTGATTTCTATTAGACATAGAACAAAGCCTTAAAACTGGACAGAACTGGGCAAGCAGGATGCCTGGGGGAAGTTGAATTACTCCAAAAGCTGGATTTTTCTCCTAAATATTGAACTAGCTTAAAACATTTTTAAGGGTTTAATGTCTTTCCATTTTAATAACCAACTCTCTTCCTTCCACTTTTGTCCCATATTGCTAGTACGTCTCTATTTTGTCTTCAAAATACCAGACACAATAGTTTCTATCAAGTTTGTTCCTGTTTGTAGAGTTCTGACCTCTCTATGTGGCCAGAGTCAGGTAAACAACGAAATCTTCTTCACCAAAGAAATATGTTAATTGCATTAAAATTTTAATCTAAACCCAAATGTGAACGTAAATGAAGCTGATGAAGTCCCCTTAATATTATATAGAATGCAAATTGTATTCTTTACCTCCATTTCTGATGGTAGTGGCTGGTTAGCTCTGGATGGCTGCTTGGTCCTTGGTGCCTTTGGTGGCCTCTTAACTGGCTGGTTACTCTGTTTTGGAATCATTTTAGAAGCTGCTACAATGGAGTGAAATCTTGGTGACATGTTCCAAAGCCTTTTAATATGCTCCGTATTGAGCTTGTAGTTTCCCATTGCTGCCATACCAAAATGTTTCCAGGGTGGAAAAAACATCTCCCTGCTCTGATAATGAACATTTTTTCCCAAAGCTGGTACATTTCCTTGGATCAATTGCCAATTCTTCACTTGCACACATTGACTTGTCAAACAAGAAGAAGCAGTTTTCAGAGCAAACAAATTCCCAATCTTCCTTGCTGTCCTGTCAAGTTCATTATGCAGCTTTGGTAGTGGAGGTCCAGTTCTATTAAAGGTTTGGTGTCGGCATATGGTTGTTAAAGAGTGGAAAGATCCAGCCTGAAGGCGCAGAAGTTTCAGTCTCATTGCTTCCCTCAGAACTGTATTCAAAAGAAAGAAACAAAATCCTCTATCAACCCTTTGGAAAGAAATATTATTATTTGTCCCTTAGCTAAAAGGTGACCCATACTCCTTTTGAATGCATTAGTACTCCTAAACACAAACAGTGATGGCTCTAAAAAGCTTTTTCTCAATGCTGTGGACATACTCTAATTAAGATTAAAGCATGTTAATGAACTGTGTGCTCGCAATACCCAGTGGTAGCGTTGGTTGCTATGTCAGTATGTAACCAGGTATCTTTTCCCCTCTGTTGTTCGCTCTGTGTAGTGGTCTGTGCTCTCACCAACTCCACTGATAAAACGACTCATGGGCAAGCACTCACCTTAAGGGGAAGAAATCACCTCGCAGGGGAGACTGTGAGCATCATTATTTTAACATAGCAGAAACAACAACTAGATTGCTGTGTGCTTGTGTGGCAACATCACCTACACAACACTCATACTGACCCACACCAGCTGCCACAACTACGCTGCTGCCAGCCCAGCATGGATCCAGCTCCTCTCGCTTGTCACGACTGAAACGAGAGGCCCCTAAACCAGGCTGCGGCCTTGATCCTGCCGTTACACAACGGAGCAGTACGGGCTGCCTGCGGATCCACCTGCACTGCCGGAAACGCGCACTGTTAGGCTGCCAATCCAGCACAAAATCTAGCTCCTGAGCGTATTTATGCTGCACTGCGGGTGTTGATTAAGTGAACTCTGTGAGCGTCCGCAGGCCGGGCTCCTCCAGGGGCGGTTGCGCTTGCTGAGGGCTCGCAGCGCCGCGTCCCTGCCCCCCCCCCGCTTCTGTCAGCCAGGAGCGTTCCCCTGGCGACAGAGAATTCATTTTCAGGAAGATATTAGCATAAAGAAAACCCGTGGAGCTCCATAATTTAAAAAAAATGGGTCTGTTTAGGGATATTTTTCCCAAACCAGAGTAAACGGCCGTTAACAGCACCGACACACTGCGTAACGGCCGAAACGCCCCTTCTTTTGTCAGAAGAAGCCCCACAAAAGGGGTCACGGAGCTCCTCCGGGCTGCCACAGGACAGGTGCTTGACACTGGGCATTTATGTGCTGTAGGCATTTCGGATTTATGTGCTTGCTGCTCGGCACGTTACGGGCTCCACGAGGCGGTTACGCGCACGCTGCCCGCACCCAGCGGGGCGCTGAGGCCCCAACGGGCCGCGCCGCCATCACCCGGCCCGGCGGCAGCGCCTCGCTGAGGCACGGCGGAGCCGCGCTCCCATTGGCTGCCCGCCTCAGGAGGGCGGGACATAGCCCGCCGGGCAGCCAATCAGACGCCGGGCGCGTAAGAACCGGCGGCGAGGCCGCGGCGCCCCCCTGAGGCGGCGGCTGAGGGGCGCCTCCACCGGGGGCGCCTCGCCCGGGGCCGGCCGGGCGGGCAGGGGGGCGGGCAGGGGCGAACCACGGCGCCCGGCCTGCCCTCCTCCAGCCGCCGCGGTGCGCGGGGAGCTGTGCGTGTGTCAGCGAGCCGCGACCTTGAGGCTTTGACACCGGGGGGGGGGGCAGGAAACGGCCCCGTTCCCCTTTCCCCTTTCCCCATCTATCCCCACCCCCCCGTTCCCCCGTTGCCTCCCCCCCCGTCCCGTTCCCTCTCCGCAGCGCGGGGCGGCCGCCACCAGCCCGCTCCCTCCCCCCCTCCCCTCCCTCCCCCTCTGCCGCCGCCGCGGCGGGCGGGGAGGGGCGAGGCGGTTCCCGGCGCGCGCCAGCACTGACCTGAGGGGGGGGGGGAGGAGGAGGAGGAGGCGGAGGGGGGGGTGGGGGAGGGGTCGCGCCGCTCTCCGCCGCGCTCGCCGCGGCCCCGCCCCCCGGCCGCCGGGCCCCGCCGCCGCCGCCGCCCGCCGCCCGCCGCGCCAATACCGTCCGGCCGCCGCGCCCCGCTTCCGGGGGGCGGGACAAGATGGCGGCGGCGGGGACGGCGCTGCCGGTAACGGCCCTACCGGTGCCGCTGTCCGGCAGGTTCAAGGGGTGCGTCCCGGCAGCGGTGCTGAGGGGGGCAGAGCGGGGCTCGGCCGCGGCTCCCGGCCCCACGGAGAGGCGGTGGAAGGGGCGGCGGGGCCGGCGGATGGCGCCGGGCGGGGCGGAGCGGGGCGGGGCGGAGCTGGGGGGCGGCCCTCGGAGCGCTGCGGACGGGGCCTTGCGGGGAGGCGCCGGCAGGCGGCGCTGCGGGATGGGCCTCAGCCTCAGCCGCCTTCCGCGGGTGGGGGGTTAAAGTTCCGTGTTAACTCTGCCTCGGTGCCCTGCCCAGCAAACAAAGCCACCGTAAAGCCGTTGGCATACAGGGAGGGGCTTCACGCTGTGCCACGGGAGGCTCAGGGTGGAAGTTCAGAGATATTTCTGCTCGGAAAGAGTAGCTGGGCACTGGGACGGGCTGCCCAGGGAGGGGGTGGAGGCATCGTCCCTGGGGGTGTTCGAGGAGAGGTTGGACGTGGTGCTAAATCTACCTGTGTAGCTGTAAATCTATCTATTTATGTATGAATTTATATATTGGGAGCAAGCACTGTGGATTTTGTGACTGTAAAATCAGTACAATTGCAGTATAGCTAAACATGACATGTTTCTCTGGGCTCTTAATTTTAAATTTACCTATCTTTACATCTGCCTAACCACAATTAGAGAATGTATTTTAGCCTGGAATTGACTACATTTTTTACCTCCGTCAGGGCTAGTCAGTTAGTGTTTTCTTCCCCGAAAAGACTTCTCCAGAAGTCAACCCAAGAGCCCAACCAATTTGAGATCTTTTTTTCTAAATGTCAACTACTATAAAAGTACACAAACATATTTTTTAAGACCTTATGTTTATTTAAAAATAGAAGATACTTTATCATTTCCTCTCAGTAAGGAAATTTTGATCCTTTCCTTTTCAGATCATTTGCATATTTTACAATCAAAGACAGACTGCCCCAGATCCTCACAAGAACTATTGATACTCTGCATCGACATAAAAATGAATTCTTTGAAGAACATGGTGAGGTAAGAGTAAGGTGTCTTTTTCCCTGATTTTTTTTTCCCCCCTAACTGTTGAGACCCCTTCTATGTTTTTACTGATTTATTTCTATGATCATTGCTTGGCTTTCTTATTCTTTTTATCTGTTCTTCTTCTTGGCCACCTTTCTTGTAGCTTTCTTTTATACATTTCATAATTCACCTTCCTGTCCTACCTTTTTCTGATGTTTCTGTTCTGCCCTTGCATCAGTTTTTTTTTCCTCCCTCTTTCTCTTTTTAATGCTGCTATGGCTAATAGACTTAGCATCTTCTGACGATGGCAGTTTCACTTTTCTGTTGCCCTCTAATGACCAAAAGATCCAATCTAGAAAGAAGTCCAATGCGTGATTCACTTTAGGAGCATATGCATAAAATGAGAATCATTTACCCAAATGTGTTTGGCTGAATCAAGCTCTGATTTTTCAGGGACTTGTATGTGGCAATTGAAGCTTATTGCTTGCTTATTCCTGAAAACCTGGTCTGCGTTTCTACAGGAATAAATGTTCAGAATAGGAACTTTTGTTCTTCACTTATTTCAGAAGGGTGTTGAAGCAGAGAAGAGAGCTATATCTTTCCTTTCCAAATTACGGAATGAACTTCAAACAGACAAACCAGTGACTCCATTAGAAGATGAGCTGCCTGATGCCATGCTGTGGAACCAATACCTTGACTACCAACGAAATTTATCAAATGGAAATGGAGGACCAAGTTGGTTTCAGTCTCCTTGGTTATATGTAGAGTGTTACATGTATCGAAGAATTCATGCAGCGTTAGCACAGAAGTAAGTATTTACTAGCTTGGTGTATTACTCTGCAAAACATTATTCTGCCCCCTTTTAATTTTAGGAGAAAGGAAGACACCTGGGGACTAAGATATACAAAAATAAAAAAGTTTTAAGTATTTCCATATTCCTTTTCCCTTGTTCTGCACCTCAGATTTAAAATCAATATTATTTTATTCAGTAGATTTTGAGGTTTATTGTTGTTTGTTATGATTCGGTTTCTGCAACTTAGTCAAACTTGAGTTTTCATGTAGACTGCATAGCTTGCCCTTGCAGACTAATGTAGAGCAGGGTCTCAAAGTGATTTAACATCTCTAAAAGGTTTGTTAGCTTAGAGTTATCTCTTAAGGTGCACGTTCATCTAAAATACGTAATAGGAGTGCCACCACCATGTTGGGCATTCTAACTTGTTCTGCTGCTTGAGATCTGAAGTTCTTACTGCAATGGACCCGTTCATTCTACACCATCATCTTAGTTACAGCAGGGTTTGCAGGCCATGTGTTGCATCAGACTTTGGGAGCTGATCCTGGTTAAAAATAACTTTGAAGGAAAAGTTTGTTGTGCTGGTACTGTGGCGAGGTGCCAGTATAACATAACGGGGTAGGAATGAACAGTTTAATTGCCTGCTGCTGTCTAAAATGAAATAAAATAAGATGAGATACTTTATGCATAATGGACCTGTTCTTAGCATTACAGAGATGGAAACATAGTAATGGGTTTCCTTGTTTCTACTGCTATATCAGGCCCTTGGAACTCTTGAAAGTTCAAATTTGAGATGGATGTTTTGGATTGTACTAAAACAAACAGATGCTCTTCATTAGTAAGCTTTAAATTTCTCAGTCTTTATTATTTTGCTGCTGTTAAGCATATGTTTGGATAGAGGTTCAATCATTTGTTAAAACATGTAACAGCAAATATGATTCTTATTACATAATGAGTTTCTATTTCTCATATAGTCCAAGAGCTGCATTATTTTGTCATCTTTGTCGTGTTAATTTTCAAAAGTCCTAGATAAAAGCTTTCATAAGAATGACATCACGTTACTGTAAGAGGCTTTGGTATGGGAAATATACTTCAGTAGGCACGAATGCAGTTTGGGTCAGCAATTCACTATGTTTGTTCACTTGCATATTATAATTTTAGTCCTTTGTATACAAAGAATGGAGTTTAAAATTGTTACAGCAAGGATTGAATGCTTATTCACTCTCAGAATTGCTAAAAATATGAAGATGTCCTGTATGCTATTTGGTTTAGTAAGGTGTGTTATCAAGCTTTTATTCAGATGCCTAAGAATTCCCTATGACAAGTTAAAACTGCATAATCAGTGGCTATTACACAGTCTAAAACCACTGAGCTCTGAGCTTGCGTTTTCATGTATTTCAAGTGCTGTCTTGGAAAATGTGGAAAGTATGTTAATATACTCTTTCTCTGCTTACTTTTAGCCCACCTATTGATAACTTTGATGTATTTAAAGAAGGAAAGGCTCAAAATTTCTTCGAATCCCAAGGGGCTATTATTGCCTTATGCACTTACTTTCAAGAACTGCTTAAAAACATCAAAGATCTAGATGAGAAGCAACTTCAGGAGGAATTTTTTAAGCTACTGCAGGTAAACTTGTAGTTTACACTAGACTTTACACAAGACTTTAAAATATCTCTTCTCTGTAGCAAATGAAACCTTGAGGGTATAAAGAATCTGAGTTTCATTGAGAATTTTTTTTAAAAGCTTTTTTGTTCTTTTTTTTTTTGTTTGTAAGGGTGTGATGAAATCCTGATGGCCATACTGTATCACTACACTGGAAGTATTTGTTTGATGTTTTCCTTATACTGCTGGTCTTCATTGTGTATTTGAAAACCCAGCTTATTCTCTCGCAGGAAACAGTATCTCTAAAATAAATGTTATGTTGAGTTCCAGAGGGCCTTTTTGTTGTTTAACTACAGAATTTTAAAACAGTTAATTTTACTGACGCTTTAAAAGCTTTAGACTTTTGGAAATAAGCTAGATGTCAGTTTGGGCCAGAAGTGGTTTAAAAGTTTATAACTGCATTGTTCTCGGAAAAAAATGCCTTTGGATAGAATACAGAATATCACAGGATTATGGTAAGTTCGTTCATTGGCAGCAATGCACATGAACTATATGACAAAACTATTAAAAGCTCATTAGAGTGTACTTAAAACTCTTTTATGTTTTTGTAAATGAGTACTAGTTCTAGTTCTTATTTGGCTTCATGTAATAAATCATGTTTTATTACTTTTTTTGTATTCCCACTGGTGTTTTCTGGAGTTATAGTGTGGAGAACACAATTTATAAAGCTTTCCAATCAGTGTGTTTACATTGTTCTGAATCTTCCATCTTTGTCAGTTCTGATGCATGTTTCTGATGCCTGCATAAATGCAGAGCCTTGTTTGGTTCCTTCCAAGATTTTTTTTTTTTCTGTGTTGAGATTTTTGCACAAGAAGTTGATTTCTATTAAAGCTTGGAGGAAAATGTGGAGTCAGAGCCTTCGTGTCCCTAAAAAAGAAATAAACAAAAATCTTTAAGTACTTGCAAAGTTCAGAATGTAGCTACAACGAAACTTACCAAATGTTTTTGTTTCTTCCTCATTCTAGGTGTCATTGTGGGGCAATAAGTGTGACCTTTCTTTTTCAGCTGGTGAGGAAAGCTCTCAGAAATCTAGTCTTCTACAATGCCTGGAAGATATGGTACCTTTTATCTTAGTGAATGATATGGAAAAGCTTTGGTCACTACTTCAAAATGCCAAAAATAGAAAAACAGATAAATGTAAAGTTAGAGTTGATATAATCCTGGATAATGCTGGATTTGAACTTGTAAGTGATTTTGTGTTAGCTGACTTCCTGTTATCATCAAAGCTAGCTGATGAAGTTCATTTCCGTGGAAAGAGTATTCCATGGTATGTGTCAGATACCACAAAGAATGATTTTAACTGGACTATAAAACAGCTTCAGGCAGCTAATCATATGTGGATGTCTAGATGTGGGATTAACTGGGAGGGCAATTTGAAAAAGGGCGTTTGGGTTTACCACGATCACATGTTTTGGACTTTGCCACATGATTTTTCCAGTATGGCTGAGGTTGCTCCTGATTTGTATGCTGATCTACAGAAGTCAAACTTGCTTCTTTTTAAAGGTGATCTAAACTATAGAAAATTAACAGGAGATAGAAAATGGGAGCACACTGTTCCTTTTCATCAGGCCTTGAACAAGTTTCATCCTGCACCTCTCTGTAGTTTGAGAACACTGAAATCTGACACGCAGGTTGGCCTGAAACCTGGACAAGCTGAACAAATTCAGGCTTCTGAACCTGAATGGATGATAAGTGGGAAATATGGGGTGGTTCAGTTTGATCCTGCTCTCTGACTCCAGTTCCTAATATTCTGGCAGATAGATTTAGTCAAAGTTTTAACTTTGTTAAAAAGTTCAACTTTCTCTGTTCTATGCTTGGCTTCAGCAAATTTTTGTTCTTGTTTGCACTTTTTCTTCCAAACAATTTGTTGTTGTTGTTCCACAAAAGACTTCTTGGTGTTCTGTAAAAGTTCACAGTTTACATAAATCACTGCATTTCAACATATTTTGTGTTCCTATTGTCCAATGTCAGCAGAAGATGTTTAAGGTGAACATTTGGTTGTCCGTAATTTTTTTTCTTCATCATTGAGTATGAGGGTTTATGCCTAACAAGTGAAAAATCTGCTTTGGAAACAGTTTTCTCAACTGCATCTTTGCATGTATTTACTCACTTCAGGATATTTTGTTCTCCATGTGCCATCAATTGCATGAAAGCTGATGTTTTAGCAAAAGCACAAATGAATTATTTTGCATATGGTCATTGCAGGAACATATTTTAAAACTGCTTGAAAGAGTTTACTTCTACTTTTTACATAAATTGTTTTTTATGTGCTGCTTGTGTCAATTGACAAAGTACTTTCATTGTTTTTTAAATGGTTGTCTTATTTGAAAATAGCAGTACGTTAAGAGAAGAGTTTTGGGGTGATATCTGGTAAATGTTGAATCTAAATTTTAAAATTAAACTTAAATTTCGATTTTTAAAATAGAAGTGGATGTTGCTAACCATTTTGCTTGGAAGAGGGGAGTTATCCCATCTGGTAGTAGGAAAATGGACAATTCCATTTTAAGAGTGGGGAAGGTTTTATTTATCTAAGAATCTCTACCAAAAACAACAAAACACAGTTACCTTGCTAACTGGATTTTAGATTTAATAAAGACTTGAACTGAAGGTGGCCTGTTCACCACCAGTGTTGGTGGTTCAAGTATTGCTGCCTCTTTCAATTGTCAACATTGTCAAATATAGTGCTTTGTATTTTTTTAAGAAGGATGCCACATTTTTTATGGGGGAAATATAACCCCAGTTGCACTGAGAAGTACAATATATACTAAAGATACACATGCCATATAGGTTGCTGCTAATTAGAGTTGTGTCCCATTTTCTTTTCCTCCAACCCAGTCTCAGTTTACCTCACTCAGAAGCTGGGGGAAAATTTGGAATATTTTAGTGATTTTTTTTTTTTCAGAGTGACATGAAAGGGAAAATGCAGTATCTGTTTCTAAAGGAAAAATTAAAAATAGATTCTATTGTCTTATTTTAGTTGTTTGAAATAGGGCCTTTTTGGAGGGCTGATATGATGGCAGTGATAACTGCAGGTTTGTTAGAAAATAGCAAAATTTCTCATAGCATCTGTCTTTCTGTCTGTGCTGCTGTCTGGAGCTGCTAAAATGAGTAGAACTTGCTGCTGGTAACTGGGGTCGTTATGTTACAGAGAACAGGAGTAACCCACAGGTAGAGAAGCTTCATCTTCTATTTTATAGATACAGTGAAATCTTACACAACAAAAAGGAGGACACTGTAGTGGCCTTACTTAGCTGCATTCTGGAACTGAAGAAACATGTGCTCTAACAAAGGAATTAGAATGGCTGGATGGTGGAAGGTGGACTAAAAGCGACTTCTGCACTTAACAGTTAACCTAAGACAAGAGTAAACTTTGGTAGGTCTAAAGCTATTTTAGCCTTTGAAAATGAAGCTGGAATCCCTTCTGGTCAGTGAAATCACTGGCAAAAAAATGTCTCGTTTCCCATTCTGACATGCAGAGAATCAGTTGGTGCTATGAGATACTGTGTTCTTATAATAAAGATCAATATAATGGATAAACGCACTCCAGTTGCTGATGACTTTGGTTATTTGTGTTTGTGTTCTTCTTTCTTTTCACTTCTGAAAGTATATTCATATTTCAAAGTTGCAAGGTCAAATATTCAAAAACTAAAATGCTAGGAATTTCAGGAGGCAATACAATACTAAATACTGGTGGGATTCTAGTTTTGGGACCTGAACTTAGTCATTTCCTTTGTATCTCTGGCTTACTACATCTAAAGGATGAATTCATGTCCATCCCCAACCATTTGAATAACTGTAAGTTAGAAATCCAGTCGAGAGCTAAAGGTCAGATGGACTGTCTCTGTCCGGAGAGAGCTCAGGGAGGCTCCAGATGTGGTGCTTTGATCAAATACATAAATGGTATGATGAGTCTGGGCACTGGAGCCCCAGTTTCTCATCTTTGAAAATGCTGTTAACTTGTTTCAAATGCACTTTGAAGCAACAGCTTTGGGTCAAGAGCAGAGAGGTGGATGTTGTGGAATAGGTGCACTGAAAACTTCCTGCCTAGTCCAAGGAAGCAAAATAATTAGCAGAAAGAACCTGATCTTCTCTGGATGGATGATTTTTGAGGTGCTCACTTAAGCTGCTGGAGAGGTTTGAAAGTTGTAACTCATTTTGCAGTCTATTAAGTCAGCATGTCTTTTACCCCTCACAAAGGAAAGTTTTGTAATTATTAGCGTGACAACCTAATTACATCAAGAATACACATACATAACTTCCAGATACCTAATTGCTTGGCTTCTATAGCTGTAACTGCAACGTGTCATTTACAGACAGGATGGAATATGCATTACACTTTTCCATTTGTTGGTTGCCTGTTACAAAAAGTTTACAAAAAGTAAAATTCAGATTTCCAATAGAGAAAAGAAGCGATGCTGAAATGCCGGTGTTATATTCTCCCGTGCTACAAGGTAGGAGCAGGACTGGTACTCTATAGGTTATAGGTTAGTTGAAAATAGTGTATACATTTAGGAAGTGCTTTCCGAGGTATTCAGCATTAACTACTTGTGTAAGTACAGCTTCATGAAAGGGAAACCTGTGCCTACTTCATTCAGGTGGAATATACTGTTATTAGACAGCATAAAGCATGTGTTACAACAATAGCATACGTTATAGCATAATTATTTTCTTGATTGTCCAGGAAAGTTGCTTCTGTACATCAGTTATAACTAATTGCCCAAAATGCTTCTACAACATACCCCAGGAGCTACTAATATGTATACCCAAATTCTTGAGGTTTTCCTTTCATGTGCCATTTGAGTATTTATAGCAGAAATAAGGGCATTTTCAGTAATTCCAAGGACCACCACAGACCAATGTCTTTTGACACATTTTTTTTTTTTGTGTGTGTGCTACCTCTTGAGGAACTGTATTTGTAAATCAGTTCTTGAGAGATAACAATGACTTCCATCTGTGATGAAACAGTGGGAAAATTAGGGTCACTGGCACAGCAAAAGTCAGTATAAAAACCAAGTACTTCATAATTGGTTAGGTAAGATATGTACAACAAGTCTATGTATTTGAGGCTGTAAGATGAGCTGTTATAAAATAAACTGATCTAGAAAATAAGTTGATGGTATGACTGGAAACTGATTTAAGAATATTGAAATAAATGATATACTTCTGTGCAAAAGTTGAACATTGTACTGTTTCAATGGGTGGAAAAGCCAAGGTAAAGTAATTCAGGTCGAAGTTCCTGTTGTTTTTCCTCTGAAGTAGATTTTATTTAAATGCCAATAAAGCTTATTTATTCTGTGAAGTTTTGAAAGAAATAGATGCAAGAGTACCAACATTTTTTTCCCTAAAACTGCCATGTCTCAAACTTTTTACTTTGTTACAATACCGATATTCTTGTTAATTTCAAAACCCTAAAAAACATTGAGAATCTGTCAAAATACACGTGACAGCTACTTACTAAGCCTAGTGCAGCTGGTGTAGTTGTTATGAGGATCATTTCCCAAACCAATAGGTGCTCCATATGTTCTCAGCAAAAATGGAAATACTTAAGTGTTTGGCTCGGTGTAACTAAAATATTTCTAAACCACTTTGTTTTACATGCACTACTAATGTTCCATAAAACTTAACTGTTGCTGTTGAAATAGTTGCTTTAAAGTTCATAGTGTATTTGCATTCATGGTTGAACTACTTAATTTGTTCTTTGATGTGAAGCATATTTATCTCTAGTACTCTGTCAGCATAGGAAAATGTTCACTCTGTTGCCCAGAGTGTACCACTATTAAATGTTTTCATTCTAAAAAGTTAAACTGTATATAAAATAATAATTCCAAAGTGGAATTTTATACAGAATTGCTAGTTTTCATGAAATGTTTTGTTTGCTTAGAGGCTTTTTGTTTATCTAAAATACAGAGAAAAAGTATAGAATTATTTTCATTTAAGGCAAAAATATAAGTTGAAAATCACCTCTGACTTACTTAAGGAGTTTAAAAATAAAACTGTGAAAATCTGTTGTTTAAAATGTTTCTTTTATTTCTTTACAATATGGTAGCAAACAGAGTGTAGAAGTTCTTCCTACACCATGGGCAATTTATATTTCTTGGTTGTGAAAATAAATGGAGTACACTTATGTCATAAATACGTGTAGACAAATTAATCCAGTTTCTGGCTCAGCTTCATAGTTGTGAATTCCAAAGATAAACTGTGAGGAGGGGGTTTATTGATGTGTCAGGCTTTGGAATGGGTTACCCAGGGAAGCAGTGGAGTCACCATCCTTGGAGGGTGATTGGACATCCTGAGGGTGAAGGAAAGATTGGACCTGGTGCTTAGGGACACGGTTTAGTGGATGGCATTGGTGGTAAGGTGATGGACCAGGTGATCTTAAGGTCTCTTCCAACCTTAATCATTCTATGTTTCTTTTTTTTGGTTTGGGGTATTTTTTTTTTTTCCTCTTTCACTTCCATTGGGAAAGATGTCATTATGATCATATAAAATGAATAAACATTCAGTGTTTGTATGCTGCTTTTATCACTTTTCAGTAAACTAAATGATCATAATCTTTCAAGCTTATGTTTGAAATGTGAATTTCATTTTTTTTTTTATTTTTGAAATGTGAATTTTCAAAAAAAAAAAAAAAAAGTGAAGACATTTCCATGCTTGTAGGATTTTTTTTGATCATTCTTGGGATCCTACCTATTTCTTCCAAGTCTTTTACGGCGTCAAAGATTTGGAACTGAGCAGACTAAAGTAAGATATATCAAGGTGCATGTTAGGGGGTTTAATGATCCCACACAATGTCTCCATGGGTTTAGCTGAGTTGTGCAGGTTCACATGGGCTGACGACAGTTAAACTCAGTATTTCACAAAAAAAACAAAAACAAAACAAAACAAAACAAAAAAAAAGCACTGCCATTTTGTTTAGGCAGAGGAACAACTAGTCTTTATCAGGTTAGTTAATCTTCAAGTTTGTCCACTGTCAGATTTCTGATAGTAACTGGTATCAGACACAACTGACACACACAGACATATGCCCATAATCCTCTTAGTTTGTGTTATTGTCTGATTTTCCCACGAGTCTAATTTTTCTTTATAGTTGTATTAATACCTTTTTCACCTTCAAGTCTGTAAATGTATTATGAAATTGCCTCCAGAGAGGCAGTATCTTCCTTTAGTAAGAGTCATACTTTCAAGTATTTGCTCTCTACATCATATTGTCTGCCATTAGCTGTGATTTCTGTGGCAACTGACAAAAGAGAAATGGAAGTAAGTCCTGTCTTCAATTCTTGATTATTCTTTGAAGTAGGTAAGTTGAAGGTAAGGCATTCCAAGAAAACTTCTGTGCCACAGGATGTGATACTGGTGATCTGGTGATCTTGGGGGTGTGTGTGAGGTGAGGGGGACAGTGCAGCTTGGTGTTGGGGCACACTGCGCTTCTGGAGCTGATACCTTTGGGAAGGCAAGCATGAACTTTGGCATGTCATGCCCATGACTTATGTGCCCAATATTTGTAAAAATGTGACTGTTTCAGGTATTCTAGCTGAATTTGAAGACCTTTAGGTCCTAGAGACTAAATTTACCCTGAGTCTCTTTTGGGGAAATAACATTTCATTTTCCTTTTTAACGTTGCTAGCATAATAGTCTCCTCTACTTCAGCTATAGTTGCCTTTACATGAGTGTCTGAAATGTGTATATGTATTCAAGTCATGTTACCTTCTCAATGTGGTATTGATGTCAGTGGCCTGAGGTCAAAACCACTTATTTTTATACAGTATTAATCAAAAATGTATCTTTCAAAACTAAAATATTTTGATTCAATCTTTTAATCAGTTATTATGATGTATTTTTAAAAGATGATCTGCGAATAGAATTACTAAATCAACAAAACTTTCTATTTAGAGTGTAGAGCAACTTTAGTAGGTACATGAGTTCAAGAGATTCTGTATGGTTATTTTCTCAGGCTGAGGCTCTCCCTGTAATTTCTGTAACACAACATTAAGAATTCCATTCACGTAAAAGATTCCTTGAAATTATTTTTAACTAAAAATTCAGAATTAATCTTTCCTAAGTTTTTATGTCCTCACCGTTAAAGAAAAAGAAACACTTGAATCCTTTTGAGAGCTCTACCTGTAGTATTTAGCAAACAAGCCTAAAACATTTTTAGTGTTATCATGCTGTACTAAGATATGTTTCGTGGTTGAATGTCTTGAAGTACTGTACTCCCTCAAACTACCACATTCTTTTCCAGTGTTAAATGAAATTTCTGCTTTTCTTCATCCTCTTTTTCTTGCCCCTCTTGTTACTCTTGCTACAGTTCAGCATTTGTTTTTTTTAAAGGTGAATAATTTTGTAGCACTACTCTAAGGCACAGTTTTATAAACATTCTCTCAGTATCACAAAGGGCATAGAAGTAGCTGAAGTTTGGCTCTTGAACCAGCTGTGGCACTGCAGGATTAGTGATGAGGAAATGCACTCAAGCATGTACTTAGCATTAGGACAAGGTTTCACAGTCATTTAATCATGCATCTGCACACTGCTCTGGTAGTGGGACAGTTTGGGCTGCTGTCAAGATGCTGAACTAGAGATTTTTGATTTCGGGAAAGATGTTAAAACTTATACCAGATATATGCTGGTGTTCATGCAAGACGATCAGTACAAATTTAACCTGTCAAATATATTGAATATTTTGAAGTGCAGAATGAGTTCCTGTGGGCTCAGCACTGTGCACCATGTGGCTGTAGCACCTTTGAGCCAGTACAGTGAGTCCTGCACTGCTGGAGCACGGGGCGAGACTGACCCACGGCCGCCTGTGCTTCCCAGCAGTCGCTGACCCCAGTGAGGTCCTGCTGTTCCCTCGTGCTGGCTGCAGCGCGTACCCGATCCTGCGCAGAGCCCTTCCATGCATCCTGTTAGTAAAAGCTGCTCTCTGTTTCGGAGACAGTAAGGAGGAAGTGAAACACATCAGAGGGAGCAGTTGTCATCTCGGCCACTGATGGTCACTGTGGCTTTTCCCAGGCTGAGGTGGAGACTTAAGGCTCCCTCCACTCTGTGCTGCCCAGACAGAGCCACAGCATGGCTCATGCCACTCTCAGCTCTGTTTCCCCTGCTCTATTCCCAGCTTTACTTTGTCCCAGTTAATCTTTTTTTTTCCTCCTTTAATCAGTTTAGCGCACATTGCTCCACATGGCAGGTTCCATCTGAGGGATGGCATCACCTAGCTCTGTGCTTCAAGCGATGTCGCATTTTAAAATATGGTATCTACACCGGCACTCCTGGGCATGGAGGAGGGGGGGAGATTCTCTGTTACTGGCAGAAACTGAAATAGCATCAGGTGCACAGAGGGGAGGAGAAAAAAAGGTAGTGTGGACATGCACATTTAGATAACAGCAAACAGTCCTTAGCACATTTTTTTTTTTTTATATATTGAGCTTGCAGCCTGAGCGTGGCAGTCTCTAAATAATGAATTGATCACTCAGAGATGTATTCTTAATACATAATAATAAAACAGTACTAGCCTTAGCTTTTCAATTTTATTCTCTGGGAAACACAAATACATCAGTATTCATAGAAACAGAAGAAAAGCTGTCATACTTTCTGATTTGAGTACAGAAATCACATACAATGGCACTGTTCCTTGCAGGTGTGTGTGACAGGCCTGATTAAGCAGCTCCAAAGTAAATGATATACAGCACCAATATGCCTGCATATCCGAAGGTTTCTTTTCCTTCCTTTTTTACCTTCCTCTTTTCCTTCCCTTTTCTTAATGCTAGCTGCAGTTCCTCTGTTCCCATATTTATCTACTTTATTTGGAAGGGAGGTGAGGAGGAGGCCTCCCCTGTCTGCTGGAGTTATTTTTGCTCTAATGAAGGCAGTCTGTTCTCCCTGTGCTGTGTGGACTGCTCATTTCCCAGTCTCTTGAAGAAGAAGAGGAGGAAACTGCCTGAGCAAGAGCATGGTGTCATTTGCTCCGTGGGCCTCCACCTTGATTTCTTGAGAAAAAAAGGTAATTTTCTCAGATCTGTGAAGTGCTCTTGTTCAGAGTATTTGAAGTGGAAAAAAGCTTCTGTGAACATCCCTTCAAAAAGATGGGTCACTTCCAGGCACTTCCCAAATCAGTGGACATCTTGTGTTCTCCACCTCCCAATCACTGTTGCTGCAGTTCTGGGCATGAGGCTTGGCCCTCTAGTCTGGCAGAAAAGGACCTGGGGGTGCTGGTCAACAGCCTTCTGACCATGTGCCAAGAAGGCCAACAGCAGCCTGGCTTGTATCAGGAATAGTGTAGCCAGCAGGACCAGGGAGGTGATCGTCCCCTTGTATGCACCTCTGGTGAGGCTGCACCTTGAGCACTGTGTTCAGCTTTGGGCTCCTCACTACAAGGACATCGAGGCCCTGGAGCGTGTCCAGAGCAGGGCTATGAAGCTGGTGAAGGGCCTGGAGCACAAGTTCTGTGAGGAGCGGCTGAGGGAGCTGGGGGAGTTTGGGCTGGGGAAGAGGAGGCTCAGGGGAGACCTCATTGCTCTCTGCAACTGCCTGAAAGAAACTTGTAGTGAGGCGGGTGCTGATCTTTTTTTCTCAGGTGGCAGGTGATAGCATGTGAGGAAATAGAGTACAGTTGTGAAACGGGAGGTTTAGAGTGGGTATTGGGAAGAATATCTTCACAAGAAGGGTGGTTACGCATTGGAGCAGGTTGCCAAGGGAGTTACCATCCCTGACGGTATTTAAGAGAGGTGTGGATGCAGTGCTTAGGGGCATAGTTTTGTGGTGGGACTCAGTAGGTCAGATGGATGGTTGGGCTTGATGATCTTGAAGGTCTTTCCCAACATAAACGATTCTGTGATTCAGTGGAGGTGGCTTTGTGGTGCAGCGCGTTGCTGTCCTGTTTACAGGGAAAACAAAGAGGTTGTGGCTGTAAGGTCAACGCGCCTGCACCGCTCCTGTTAACTCAATCTTCAGATCTCACGTTTGTGCTGCTGACCGGGTGTGTTTTCACTACTGCCCCATGGCGAGTGGCAACTAGCCCCAGCAGAGGGGCGAGGCAGCATTTACACGAGACTGGCCCCATGGTATGCGCGGCCTCCATACCCAGCGAGCCGGGCCCGCCCGCGTTGCCTTGGGGACGGAGCCAGCGCGGCGGCCGCCATCAGCTCCGAGCAGATTTGGGAAAAAGCTTTCCCGGTCTCCAGGAGTTTTCTGTTGGCTGTTTCTGTGGAGGGCGGCTGGCTGGAACCCGCTCTCACCGGTTATCTTTTCGATTTAAAATTTGTTAATACCTTTATTTTAACAGTTTCTGCAGCTGCAGGACTTTGCCTGGTGGTGGGTGTGTGCTTCAATCCCACCTCGGCAAACTTGAGCCGGTCGTTAGAGCTTATCTTTGCGAACTCAAGGACGAAATCTCTCCTTGTTAATGTTGCAGAAGGGAGGGTCTGTCATCTAGCAGGAATTTACGGTTATCTAAGAATTTCTTCCTCGCCTTTCTTGCTGCTTTGAAACCGGTTCGCTGGCTTTGATGTGAATTTAGAGGAGACACCCAAGGAGATTGCTCGGAAGAACCCAGCTCGTTTCTGCTGAAGATAGAGAAGAAAATTTGTAACAGTTTCTTTTTCTGAAGGGAAAACTATTTGGTAGTGCACGAACAGCTTGGTATGCCCCTCGTAGTTGAATGCCAGTTGTGTAATTACACTATATAACAAAAAATACAGAGGTTTTGTGTGTTGCAGGATTGATTGCTGTTATATTAACCATGCTTGTTTTAACCTGGCTGCAGAGTTTTCATTAGCACAGCTTAGTTAGGGAACTGACAGCAGCTCTGTCCCGTGTCCCACTGACCTGGAGTCAGCAGGCTGTGAGCAGTTCTGCGGAGGCTCAGGAGCACATCAAGAAAATTGTGTTTATAAATTGTGGGCTACAAAAGGCAAATCGATCCAGAGCACCAGTTGGTCCTAACTGTGTTTATGCCTACACATTCAAATATATCACAAATATCTGGCTTGTATTGCACATAGGTAAAACACAATAGGTGTTGTAGGAAAAGTGCAGGAGTGTTGGCATTCCTTGGTGGTCTGTTTTCAAATCTTTCTTTTAAACAAATCTCTTACAAAAGTCATATAACACTATTCAAGAATGATGAAGTAAAGCCCATAGAACAAGTGAGCTGCAAAAATCCCTGCCTAAGCACTTAATTTTGTTGTATTTTACTCCTAATTCTTGTCTTGGCAATTACCATTTTTATTATTTTGGCACTAAACACATCAGCTCTTCCTCATTATTCATTTTGGAAAATCAATGATACAAAGTGTCTTGGGAGATTTAAATTCCTTAATTTAGCCCTGCTGCCAAAGGGTGAAGTGGAAAAAAGAGCAACATATCAAATAATATTTACAGTAACTGATCCTTTTGTTTCTGCCTTGAGAAGACTGCTGTCTTTTGTCATACTAAATTTATTGTTTACATTTAGATGCAAAGTCACCTCTTCCTAACAGAGAGGAAAATGAAAAATGTTGCTGCTTTAACTTCTGCTTGTAGTAGTAGAGGGTAAGATTAAAATTTTGATTGTTGTGCAACTTTCATCTGGGCCCATTACTCAAGCCTCTTCAGTAGATAAACAACACCAGACAGTGATTTTTATCTTTTGGTAATACCTTTTTAATGATTACTGCAAAGGGAGGGGGGTAGGGTTAAGCAATACCCTCCTGAAAGGAATTTAGAAAATCTCTTTGCTAATTATTTGGGCTTTTGAGAATGTTTTACTTATTTTTGCGTGTTTCTAGATCTACGCTAAGGCATAAAAAACCCTCCACAGGCATATAACTCCCCCACTACCCAACCCAACATCTTTAATATTACATGCAACTTTTAAGGTTGATATTCATAAAGCAGTATTAATGCAAATATTTTGAGATCTCTGATGGCAGGCAAATTGTCCAAAGTATTAGTGATAAAGAAGGTAGGCTTACCCAAAATATACATACAAGCTGGTTAATTTATGAACTTTTTTTTTTCCTGTAAGAGACTGGTTCGTTGTGGTCTGTTTTCATGTGATTTAACAAAATCTGACTTGTGTAATAGTGCCTCACCTTTCTCGCACTCATGGGTGTGTTTAGCTGCTGTGGCTATTCTGAAGCTATGTGCATGCTGGCTGCTGTTGCCAAGTTAATTCTGCACTGGCCAAGTGTTATCTGCTTTCCCTTCATTCACTAATGACTCTGAAAACTGGCAACTGCCTGATTTTCATGAAACTTGTAGACATTTAGCTTTTTATTGTGCAGGTTTTATGAAACATATATATTCTAAAACTTTTTTTTTTTGTTGTTAGTATAGGTTCTTTTGCAAAATACAATAAAAGTTCAATGATCCCCTGAATGCTGAGGTAGATTTCTTTCCTTTAAAATCAATTTATACAAGAAAGTTTTAAAAGTGGCCTTGTTAGAACATATTTTGATTGTTTTGTCAGAACATTAATCTAATCTGGTTCTGGATGACAACAGACTTTTAATATTACATTTCTAACTGTAGTTAGAATAGTCACAATCAAAACATGGTGCTTAAGCTCCCTTTTCTGGTTGTTGAGCACATGCCGAATGAATTCCTATTGTTCTCCATTGTACTGGGACTAAAATTTCCTTGTGATTCTGAATTTTGTATTGAATTTTTTCAATTGCATGTTCATCTCAGTATTTTATATTGGATGTCATCTTCATTCTAGTTGCAACAAATAATAATCATCTGTGCTGCTGTGTTGGGAAAATGTATTGAATTTTCAGAAATTAGAACAATTTTTATGCATATATATACCCGTAAGCAAGAATAAAGTTGCATTAGGAAGAAAAATAGCTTCAGATTTTTTTTTTGTTTTCAGAATACAAAGTATTATCAACTGTTTTCAACCTTTTTTTTTTTTTTTTTTTTTTTTTTTTTTTTTTTTTCCATTTAGAATCAAAGGAAAAATGGAACCAACAAAGGTTTGTGAGTCATTATTTATTTTTGGTCTGCCAATCCAAATGTGCCTAAGTGCTTGGGAAACAGGAAGATGAAATCCCTGCCCTGAGTAGTGTCCATCTGCTATGGCCAAGAGGCAAGGAAAGACTGTACTTGCAGATCACTCAGTGTAGTGGTTAGTGATTACTTTTTGAGGGCTTTCTATTTTTGTAGATATTTAAAAATATATATATTTTTGGGAAAGAGGGGGGAGCAGAGGTAGCAGTGTTTGCCAGGGTCGAAATTAGAAGCGTGGCAGGAAAGGACATTGTTAATAAAGGAAAAGCTGATAAAAGCAGAATGGGAGTGACTGACTTGAACAGCTGATGGATTTTGAAGTGTATGGGAAGGTATAAATCTAGTGAATATTGTTAATGTTCTGTCAATTCTGTATTAAGTGAAGTTTGCCAATTACAGGCCAGATTCCAAAATGGTGGAAATGGTTATCTGGTAAAAAATGAAAAAACAAACAAACAAACAAAAAAAACCACAACATGTAATAACAATGATGTCCTTATGTTATTCATCCCCTAAATAATGTCTATTGCTAACGCAGCCAAAGGTTTAAGTAAATATTACTCTCTAATATATTGTAAATATAGATTTATCTTCTGTTTGGCATTGGAAGTGAAATGAAAGCTTATTTGGTGGTAAATAGCTGCTAAATGGGAAGGGATACAAATTTCATAATGTGAATGGGTGAAACATTTAAACCCCAGACTGCTCATTGAATTGTAATATATGAAGGTTTCTCCTGTGTACTGCCTCTTATTCTTTTAGCACATTATTCATTTTATTCACTTAGCTGTAATCAGTATAAACTATGTAGTACTCATAAGACATTACAAATCTGATTTTTTCCAGGGAGTGATGAAATCCCCACAGGTACGTTGTAAATCTTACCCCTGTAGTAGAGTCATGCCCAGTTAATGGAGTTGCTATATGAATGACTAATGACCAGACTTGTGAATAGCTGCTGGCAAAACGTGGGAAGTTATTTACTTAAATAGTAAGACATGTACGCTCCCTCCCCTTCTCCCCCGAATGTGATAATTATAGCAGCTTTCCTAGTGTGGTGTCACAGTGATTTCGTATTTGCTAAGGCACATGAGAACTGCTTCTATAAATCTCATTAAAACCATAAATGTGTGAACGGTAATTCCTATTGACTTTAGCACCTGGCTTATTTTAAACCTCTTTTAAATCATTCTGAATGTATATCTTTATCTCTCTAAAATACTCGCTATTTTAAAATCTACCTTTGTAAAACAGATGTGGGTTTTATCAATTCCATCTGTAAAGGGCTTTCTTACATTGATTATTGCTGAGGAACAAGGTCCTTCTTCAGCTGTGATCTGTAATTTTATTATTTCATCAGTTTTGAGACGTATTCCCTCTTTCTGTAGAGTCAGAAGCAGTTGTCTTTGTTTATGGAAGAAAAAGAAAATGTACACCAATACAGTAATATAAATATAATAGCATACAAATAATGTAAACAGTGTTACTATTTGCTAGCAGTGGCTTTAGTTTTGGAGCCATGCTGTACCACAGGATGAAACAAAGCTCTCTACCTCAAAGAATTCCATGTGGTTGTACACTATGAAACAAGTGGAATAAAGCAAAAAGAAGACAAAGTAGCAAAACGATGGCCCATGCCTTGCCTTACTCCCTCAGAATGATGATAAAGCATTGAGAAAATTGGCAGCCTTTTTATCTCCGAGGCTGTGCTTTGCTGTACATGACCATGAGCTGTGCTGTGTGTATCAGTCTGGCTTGATGAGAGTGGCAACTCCTCTGTGAAGGAGCACTGCTGAGTGTCTTTGAGAAGATGAATGTGATTAAGCTTGATGGATGTAATCCAGTCTCTACTAGGGAACTGAAGAAAGATTAAAGAGTTGACGATATTATAAAAACTAATCCAAAGTAATTTACCTTCTGCCACAGTCCAAACTAGTAGTTTTGCCTTATTCCTCAGTGATTTCTGTATGTGTTTCTTGATAGAGGGTTATTTTACTACATATTCACCTGTTTAGAAAAATGTTCTTTTTTTTTTTTTTTTTCCTATTTAGACTGGACAGGAGCTGAACTTCTAATTTATCTCAGCCTGGAAACCAGTGCCAATGTAGAATGAAGTAGAAGGGCTACATGTCACACTTTAACTACAAAATAATATGTGCAAGAGTCTCTATTAACCTCCTGTAAACTCTGGATGCTCCTTTAACATCGTGGTTTCTGGCTTAAGGAAACCTTAAAGAACTTGGAACTTTCTTATCAAACCATCAGATGACTGTCTCCATGCAACATGTAGCCAAAGGAAAGGCATCTGAGACACACCCTTTGTGCTCAAAAAGAGGAAGCCGCTGACAGGGAGTTCTTAGGTTCAGCCCTGCAACCCCATAGGAGGCTCTGAAGTTGAAGTAGCTTTTACTAGCTGTGGTGTGTAAGCTCTCACTTAAGACTGCTGTGGCACTTGAGGACTGAAGGAAAGCAAACATGATTTTTTTTTTTTTTTAATTAGGAGGATATTTCATTTACATGTGTTTATCTTATTGAGAAAGCTGTGTTGAAAGTGCAGTGTTGAGTGGACAGGGGGTTCTGTTATGTTTTAATAAGCTGTAAGCTCTAAATGCAAGTTTTTATGCTTTCAGTTTTAGTGTGTGTAGTTTTCAGCTATATACATACTCTATTACTCAGATAGTTCCAGTTGCTGCTTATAGTAACCATCTGGCCTTCTCTTTTTGTGTATCTTGTAGCAGTCGGTCATGAACATAGTTGCAAACTCCATAGGAAGCTTGTAAGTTTATGTCAGCAGAATGTGTGCTTCTGGCATTTTCTGAAAATGTTGTTTCAGAGAATGGATTTTGGTCAGTTAAAAGACACGTGGGAGCTACTTGTTCTCCACCTGCTTATTTCCTTTTGATCATATAGGTTGTGCAACTGTGATCATCAGGAAACTCAGCTCTTCCAAGGTTGCTGGGTAGGTTTTTGCTCCTCCTTCATTCCCCTCATTTCAGGGGAATGAGGTAAAACAAGGTAAAAAACAAAACAAAAAAAACCACACACACAAAAAAGAAAAAAAAAAAAGGCAGGGAAAGGAACAGAAAGCTAAGTGTTCTCTTTCTGGGACCTTTGGCTCAGTCAGCCTTAAAGATGGCTTGTGATTCACTTTGTCATCCACTCGTGGAGACAGATGAATGTACAAGAATGGGAACGAGATAAATATGTGAGAAAACAGTTCACGCAAAGAGCTAATGGTGTATGCTGCTCACTTTTGATGTGGGTTTCTCTTTTTAACTCTAAAAGCCTAGGTATGTCCAGAAGGTGAGAGAAGGCAAAAAACTATTTCTGCTCCCAGTTGTGTTAGTAAGGGTTACACATCCAGTTATACAGTCTGCTGAAGAGAGTCACCATTTAATTTCTTTTTTAATTGATTGAATGTGAATTGTTCCAGTTTGCTAGTTTCCTAGTCCTTTTTTTTTTTTTTTTTTTTTTTTTTTTTTTTTTTTTAATAGACTGGCAATCAAATAAAAAAAAATAGGGCATTTTATGTGTGTAAATGCATAAATATGTGCCACCACGCACTGACCAAACTATAAAAATATATAAAACCTATGTTAATAGGATCCAGAGACAACTGATGAATCAGATCTGTCTAGTTTATGTTAGCTGCACCCGCCTTTCAATGTGTGTGGCTACACTATGAATGAAATCCCTACAGGCTTTTTCTATTGCTCCTCAGTGTTCATCAGTGCTACTTCTTCTAGTGGCCTGCCACAGAAAATTTTCATGCTTTTCTATTCAAATGAATATTTTAATCCATGGATCTTACCAGTACTTACCAGCTTGTTACAGGAGGGTAATATCCTATTTAGAACGGAAATATATTTTATTACAGAAAAATATTTTCTTTCCAGATAATTGTTCAGGAATAACCTTTGCATCTAAATAATGGTACTACGGAGAATGAGTTTTAATTTTCAAGTACAACAAGCCTATACAAATTGCTTCTTTCTACATGGAGTTAGTACTACTTAATTACATAGAATGGCACTGTAGCTCATTAAAAAATCATGAATGGCTTTCAAAAATAATTTTAGCTCTAAATCTGCCTCCGTGTGTTGCTTGAAAATAGCATGTTGCAGGCTGGCACCCCCTTTGCTGGCCATCAGGAATGGCATGGAGTGAAGACAACACCTTGCCTGTCACCACTGGAATACCTAGTTTCGAGGGCAGGCATGAACTGGTGGAGATTTGCATTTTGTGACACGTACCTAAAAGCATTAGTATTGCAGTTTTGTTTTAGTCCTGTGTGGGAGCTGATAGAATAAAATTCTCTTGTTCTGTCCTCTAACGTGTGTTCCCAGTATCACCTAAATAGACTTCAATTCTGAAGAAGTTAAATTACATCATTTTATACTTGTGTTCGACTGAAAAAATGCTCTGTCTAATGGAACTCCTAGCAAGACCTCAGGTCTCAATTTTCATATTGAAAGATTTAAATAACAAAGACCAAGAAATCCACTGCATTTGTGCTCTACTGTAGAAGAAATGTACAAAAATGAGAAAGCGTATTGAAAAGAGTCAAAAAGGCACAATTAAAGAATTGTAGTCTTGAAAGTGGTCTGAAGGAGACTGTGCTGGAAGCACAAAGCCAGTACTTGCCATCTATTAGTGGGGTTTGAAAAAGGATGAAAGAAAGTCAGTATAGTAATGGTGATTGCCGGGGACAAGAAAGTATCATTCAAAAAGCTGAAATTATGCCCAAAATTCATAGTAAGAACTCAAAAGGACCTGTAGCCATAGCTGATTAAAAGTAAAAGCACAGCTGGGCAAGCCTAAAACTGACTTTGAGAAACAGATGGAGGCCTGAGTAGGGGTGGACTCTTCAACCTGGTAGAAAGACAGTGGAGGTGAGATGTGATAGAAAGCTGCAGAATCACGTGTGGCACAGAGAAGATTGATAGCCACTGTTTTTTCCCCACTCTTTCAATGTAAAATTATGGGGGCATTCGGAGTAACTGCAGTCTGAAAAACAAAGTTGTTCTTTGTATAAGAGACACTTAAGTAGATCATTGCCAAGAAAACATTTTGAATGAAAGTTGACATGGGCTGAAGGAGTGACTGGAGAGGTTTGTAGACAGGGGACTTTTAAGTGTTACTAAATTCATGGAAACTGCAGGGAATAACCTGAACTGAAAATAATTGGAGGCTATGAAATTGCTGAGGGGGAATATCTTGCATACTTGTGCTGAATCTGCTAATGGCCACTGTTAATGGAAGGAGAAGCAGGTTAGCCCTTTATGGAGATTCATATGATCTACCTTTATTTTCTTCCTCCTTATTTATGAGTTAAATTATTCTGTCTTTATGTAATACAAATGCAAATTCTGTCTTGAAAGTTGCAAGATACCCTCATAAACACTGAGGATTCAGAGTTACGCCTTCACAATTTGTGAGTGTGTTGGCAGCAGTCTGTTGTGTGGTGGGAAGTGCTGAGAGACGAGAACAACACTGACTAGAAGCAGCATGCAGAAGAATCAAATAACTCCGTAGTTGTGATTTTCAGTTGTACCTGAAATTTTTAATCTCTCATTACTTCCCCCCCCCATACTGCTGAATTGAAATATAGATACACAAAGCAGCTTAACATTAGCCTACCCCTTTCTAGAGGCTATGGGCATTGGCTCATGTAAAGAATAGAAAGGCCTTTCTCTAACAAGTGTGTTGCTTTCCTGACATACTCTAGTACTGATGTTGATGGCTTAAATTGCAGGTGAAAGTGGTGACTGATAGAGAAATGACTGTTTACCTTACATTACAATAAGAGTGAGTTACTCTGGAAACAACATGCTTGGAACAGAGTCCCTTTAGTAGCTGAAAGAAACAAAAAGGCTCTGAAGCAAAAATGTTTTAAATTGTGATGTCTAATGGCTTTGTTTTCACATTGTCTCCCCAGGAGTCTCACGATCACTTTCTTTTGGATATTCCTGTCACCAGAGAGCAGATGAACCGCTATCGAGCTGCAGCAGAGACTGCTCAAAGCGAACTTGCAGCACTTTCAGTGAAGTATGATTGTGCTCAATCAGAGGTATATTTTAAAATACCTCCAAATACTTCTCGACATTTGAAGATTTTCTACAGTATCTTTCTGCTGAGAATAGAAAGTTTGCAGAAAGTCTAAAAATTCTTGAGTTTAGTACAAACCTTTTGGTTCTTATAATATTCTTTTTTTTTTTTTTAATTTCTTTTTAGCACTCTGATGTGATTGTTACTCTGCTTGATTCTGTGCTCAAGAACCATGAGTTTATATTTCCAAGATTCGAACCACTCTAGCTTTTTATCATCATCATGCAATAGTAAATGCAATATTTTGTAATTAAATCTGAAAGTTAATATTTAGAAATTGTGGTTGTATAAAAGCTCTGACAGATGTCCTGTTGTTGTTGCTATTAACTTCAGAGATAACTGCCCATCCTCACCCATTTCTCCAATTTATTGAGTTATGACTCTGAAAATTTGCATTGCTTGCATCACCAGTGAAGTTGTGTTTGAGCTAGTGAGGTTGATTTTAACTGGAGAACCTATATCCATCCTCTTCTGCTGTCTCTGTTGTGTGGATGGAAGTTTTCAGGAGAGAGAATTTATTACAGGATAATTTTCAGAGTTTCTGTGTTTTCATGCTTAATTTTTGTTAACGTAGGACCAAATAAGGTTGATTTGATACAATGCAGCAATGCAGGTGGTGGTCAGTTTCAAAACAGAGTCGATATTTGCCTCTAAGAGAAATGCAAAGGTTCATGTTTATTTCCACAGATTTAGGTGTATATATTCATAAGTATACACAGATATAAGTATACATAAAATACATAAGTATACATAGATAAGTATACATAACATTTCATAGAGATGCAAACATTCATCCAACTAGTTCTTCAAATGTCTGTACACATTACAAATATGTATTTCTCTTGCACTCTGTAAAGTGCTTTGAGACACTTGCATAGCTTCTGAACCTTAAAAAAGAGTCAATGAAATAAAATTTATTTCACTGTAGATGGCTGAACATGGGAAGAGGAAGAACATGTAATATTATAGAAGAATGAATTGTTTATTAAGTATCCAGTCAGAACTGCAGGGATGAGTGTCTATCAGCTGAGTGTGACTTTGACCAGTTGATCCTGAAATTACTGCAGAGATCCTTTACAGTTAATTGCTATCTAGGATCAGTACTCTAATTTTCTTTTTTTTTGCAAAGTAGTACAGAATTCCATGTTCTCATGGACAGATTTTTTTTTACTGGAAATCTCGAATGGCTTTATTGCCAGCATGACCGACTGATTTATAGAATCTTTCAGCGCTGTTCTTGCAAAACAAAAGAATAGTCAAGAAAGCAGCTGTTCATGCTCTTCTTAATAAAGACCTTCATGACCCAGCTGAGGTCAGAGCCCAGTTATGCTGAGCACTCTTAAAATTCATAATATGGGATTATTCTTGTTTTTTTCTGCTGTTGGAACTGACCACAAAGGCAATAGACAGAGGAAAAAATATCACATTTTGCAGATGGGGAGTTGAACCACAGAGAAAATTTTAAGGTTATGAACACTTTAAGCTACCATAAATTGGTTTAACTGCCAAACAAAGCAATTGTGTTGTTCCTTCAGCAGCTTGTTTCCTTTCCCACACTGTCCTATCCCTTGCCTTGGCACAAATGTCTGTGTCTTATGGTGTGCTGGACTGTGGAACAGATCCACCTGAAGCATAAAGCCTTTCCTTCTGGGTTGTTTTTTGAGCCGGATCAGTTTCCTGATCTATTTCACCTCATTGCCATAGGAGTATTTCTGCTAGTGCAAAGAAGAGGGCAGAGTATGGACATGAAGCCTATGAGACTGGGAAAAGATGGAGCAGCTTTTCTTGAAATCAGAGTTGGTTTATGTCAGCTCCAAAGACAGTGGCTTTTCCTCCTGGAATTTCACTCTGAGCATCTTAGGTTTGGTCACACCAGAAGCTCTTGGTGGAACCATGAATTTTCTGACCTCCTGTATTGCACCTTGATGTCTTAAATATTCAATGATGTTTGCCACAAGTTAAAAGCCCTGCTGCTTATAGCTGGAATTGTCAGGGAAGCTGAAATCAATCCTTAGCACTTCTAATAGTAAAAGTTTTGCTTTAAATTATATGTTGCTTTTAACAAGTAAAATAGTTGAACTGAAGTTTTGTGTGTGCCTAGTGAATCTGCCTGAAGCTTAATCTTTTGTAGAAGTCTAGCATAAACAATTCAATGGGAAATGGTACTTCAGCAAAAAGAAGGAGGGGAAGGTAAAGAAAAATGAATGAACTCCATGAACTGCTGTGAGGCTCTAACATCTCTGGATCAGGTTCTTAACATTTGGCAGTAATCTCCCTCCTCCTCCTCCTTACAAGGCTCTCTTGCTGTTTCTGTGTAAATCCAGCTACATTTCATTGAATCATCTGACCAAAAAATAACTGTTTGCATAAGCTGGAAAGAGGTTACCTTAAATCACAAATCTCCAGAAACTTCTTTGCCTCTGAATATGCTACAAATCATCAAAAAGTTCCACTCTCATAAAACAGGATACTTTGCCATTACATCTCCCCACAGCTATACGCTATTTGTGGAATTGTGCACCAGAATTGGGAACAGGGAGAAGGCAGGCAAAAAAGAAAAAGAGGGAATGGTGGTATTAATTACTCTATTGTAAGGCAGCTGCATAAGGGGAGGGGGGAGTGAGTTAAGGTTGTGTGTGAGAAGTAACGTGGGTATTTCCTAATTCTGTATTTCTGAGCAGATTTATCTTCCAGGCAGAGAGTTTATATTAAGTTGTATTACATAAAAAAAGTTTTTCTTTTTCCTATTATTTTCTTTTAGTAATATAAAATTGTCTCCCTCCACTCAGTTTCATAGTGATAGAAGACTGTCTTTTCACAAGTCTGTGCTTCTTGTCATGTTATTGAACTTTTAATGCAGACAAACATTTCAGTCTGCACAAAATTATTTTTCCTTTTTAATTAATTTTCTCCTTTTCTGTTTATAGCTTCTAGAACTCAGGTCCAGAATGGTCTCTAAGGAAGCCTCTTTTCAAGAGCTGAAGGCTGAAGCTGAACACTACAAGGAAAACAATGCTAGACAGGCATCTCTTCTCCTGTCTTTGCAAGCCCGAGTTCGAGAGACAGAGGAAGAGTCCAGTATGCTTGCCACTTCTAAAAAACAGGCTGAGCTGACAGCACAGGCAGCATCCAAAGAAAACTGTGAGCTGAAGGAGAAACTTCATGAGCAAAATGCCAAACTTAAGTAAGATTCATGTGAGATGAGAAGCAATTTTTGATGACAGGAAGCTGCAGTTGTCAACAGAAAAATAAGTTGGTGGGCAGAATTTACAACAGAATTCAGATCTGCAGTTACGTTTTGTAAAACAATTGTACCTGAGTGTGTGGAAAGTATTGAAATTTGTATTTTGGTTCGAGTTGTTAGACCATAAACGGGGTTTTAAGAGTTGTGTCCTTTGGAGAAGAAATCACTATAATGAGTCAGCTTGGTGAAACCACAATATTTACACTCCCCCTCTCCCCTCCTGCAAAAAAAAAAAAAAAAAAAAAAAAAGAGGAATTGGCTTAGTGGCTGCACCTGGAGAGTAGTGATCAGTGGTTCTATGTCCAGGGGGAGACTGATGACAGGCGGTGTCCCTCAAGGGTCTGTCCTGGGACCAGTGCTTTTCAATATCTTCATCAGTGAAATAGATGATGGGATTGAGGGCACCCTCAGGAAGTTTGCAGATGACGTCAAGCTGAGTGATGCTGTTGGTACAACAGAAGGAAGGGATGTCATCCAAAGGGGCACAGACAGACTGGAGAAGTGGGCCCATGTGAATTGCATGAGGTTCAACAAGTCCAATTGCAAGGTGCTGCACCTGGGTCAGGGCAATCCTGGACATGAGTATGGGCTGGGAGAGCTCATTGAGAGCAGTCCTGCAAAGAAGGACTTGGGGGATTCTGGTAGACAGAAGGTGAGACATGAGCCAGCAGTGTGTGCTTGCAATCCAGAAGTCCAACTGCATCCTGGGCTGCATCAATAGAGGAGTGGCCAGCAGGAAAGGGAGGTGAGATTTTTCCCCTCTACTCTGCCCTCGTGAGGCTCCACCTGGAATACTGTATCCAGGTCTGGGGCCCGCAGCACAACATAGACGTGGAGCTGTTAGAGCGGGTCCAGTGGGGGGCTACAAAGATGATCAAGGGGCTGGAGCACCTCTCCTATGAAGAAAGGCTGAGAGAGGTGGGGATGTTCAGCCTGGAGAAGAGAAGGCTCCGGGGAAACCTCATTGTGGCTTTTCAACACTTAAAGGGGTCTTAAAAAAGACAGAGAGTGACTCTTTACTCAGGTAGATAAAGATAGGACAAGGGGAAATAATCTTAAAATAAGAGATTTATTAAAAAAAAAAAAAAAGATATAAAGAGATTTATTTATTTAAACTAAAAAAAAAGATTTATACTAGACATTAGGAGGAAATTCTTCACTGTAAGGGTGCTGAGACACAAGAACAGGTTGCCAGAGAAGTTGTGGATGTTCCATCCCTGGAGGTGTTCAAGGCCAGGCTGGGTGGGGTCTCAGCCAACCAGATCTAGTGGGTGGCATCCCTGCCTATAGCAGGGGGGTTGGAGTTAGATGATCTTTGAGGTCCCTTAGAACCCGAGCCATTCTATGATTCTTTCGTAATGGATTTTTCACCATTACAAGGCTAATATCTGTGTCTGTCTTGATATTGTCTAGTTAAAAGCAAGAGAAGTATTACCAGATATCTGTAATTCTCAGATCAGTATTTTGCACAGCTCTTTCAGGCCCCGTCAGTTAGAAGTGGATAATTAAGTTATTTTAGTATCTGGAGAAATCCATTGCAGAGCACTTGTCTGTTATGAGCTGAATTGCTAAAAGAACCTGCCTGGGGAGTGCTAATGTTGATTAACAAGGTTTTTAGATATAATCCCAATATAAGCAAGGGATAGTAAAGCCAAAAAGTGTATTACGCATCCTAGCAACATAGAAAACATCACAGTCTCTGAGATAATGGTTGTTAAGATTCTTTAAAATGCTACTTTTGGGAAAAAAGAAAAAAAAAAAAAAGAGAGGAAGGGCCTTCTATCCTGTTTGCTTCAGTCACTACAAGAAATCTGCCAAAATACCGTGCATCAGAGTTAGCCTATTGTTACAGGGATATGGGTAAGTTTTATGTGGTATAAATCTGTGCTGTTGCTCCCTCTGTGGTCCTGTCCTTTAGCTGGCTGCTCTGTTTTGCTCATGTTACGTGTGTCAGTACTTCCATTTGTACTGCTGCATGGTGGTCAGGGACCAGGGATCTGCTCCAAGAGAAAAGTGTGCAAAATAAAAAGCTCAATTTGCAGCTCTGACAATCCCAGATCCAGTTAGCTGTGTACCTGGCTGTACCACTAGACGGTTGGCAAAAGGAAAGGGACAAAGGGAAGTGAACCCGCTGTTCTGGAAGCAACAACCATGTTGGATTAAACTGATTATGAATCTGCAGTATATGCTTTCAAAGCTTTTTCTCTTCCTCAGCTGGTGGTTACATGTGCCCCTTAATACTAATCAATGTGTTGACTCAGTAGTAAACTTGCTTAGTCTGACCACCTCAGTAGAACATGGCTGTTCATAATTAGATATTCAAGATTTTAATTGAAAACCACTGATAAAAAGGAAGAGCAAGGCAGTAGGCACAAAATGCGCATTTGCATTGTATACCAAGGGATACAGTCAAAAATATTTAATACATTCTGTGATTGGTTTCCAAGACATACATCTCCCCTATTAAAAATGGCACTTTTCTACTCAATGTGTCTATTGCCAAGGTATTTTTAGAACCTGAGATGAGAAGAACATTTTTTTTCTTCCCTTCTCTTTGCTCATTAGTTCTGAAGAGCTAGCAAAACTGTGAAAGAGCTGTGTTCCACTTTTTGTACCTGAATGCCTATTATCTAAGTGCTGACACCTTTATGGCTGTACTGAAGGTAATTAGGTTATTCGTTGGGTTGTCAAGTGTATGCTTTGTTCTTCCAGTTGTTTATTTTTAGCAGCAGTCCTGGTTCTGTGGGTGATGCACCTTACGTTCAGAGCCATAGAATAGGATAATTTGCATGATCAGTAACCTAATACAATATTCTAATATATATGTGTACACGTATGGCACTTCTGGAGTTTCATACCTTTTCACTTCTGATGTATCCCTCCTCAGGACAGCAATTTAGTAACCATCTCACAGCTTAGTTTTGCTGGGGTAATGGAGGAGAATGCCAGTTGCCTGGAGGTGAGAAAGCTGTGAGGTGCTTGTTTTCTGAGGGCCAGAGTGTGCTTTGCAGAAAGCAAAGCTCTCCTGGTTCACAGTGGGTGCTGTGCAGTATTACACAGAGTTCTCTGCATCCTGTGCAGAGCAGTAATTAATGTTTTCCATGCCTCTTTGTTCTCCTGTCTTCCCCTATGAAGCACTGACAACAACCGTGCTTTCCTCTCTCCTAAGGTTCTCTCTTGAAGTTTTCCTGGACTACTTTACAGCAATCTATAGCCATTTAATGGACTCCCTTTGCACCACTGTGCATTTTCTATAGGTGTCTCATGCTGCTTTTATGAAAGTGATTATGCTCTGTGCCTCCTAGAGAGGGAGAAATCAGAAATGGAGAAGAATGAGCCCAGAAATGGCTCTCACGCCCACCTTGAAAACTTTGAAGAGTGCTGTGCTCTCATAAACAAGTATTTAACAGTTTCGATAAACTAGTTGTCCTAGACAGATGTTTGGTGATACCTCACATCTCATTTGATTCCAGCATTCAAATCTTTGTGAAGACCTTGCTTTAGAAAATACTTTCTCATCTGGAAGCTCAATAGATTTGTCTCTTGCACTGAGTGTATTTTTACCATTGAGTATTTTTTTTCTTGGGTTTTATCGGAGAATGAATCCGAACTGAAAATTGTCAATGCTGTTTCTGTGCTGTGTGGTAACATTATATCTGATCTCTGCATGCTGTTGGGATTAGCAAGTGCTATGGACAGCTTGTTAGCAGTTCCTTTCTGCAGCATCAGTTGACAGGTGTACTGAGACTGGAGTACCATGAGTATAAACTGCTCCTCCTTCTGATAAGATACTCCAAAGCAGTTTTGGAGTTGATGTTTGAATTAAATTAATAGTTGCTTTGACTATATTGACTCTGTTTGGGGGATTATTTTTCTAAGTCACTCTCTTTGTAGTTTTCCAGGAGTGATGCTCGGTGTTAGGGCATCGTGAGCAAGGTTAGATCTACATATTTGCTATCTGTGCAGGCTATAGCAATGCATGTTTCCCAGACATGGCTTTGTTCCTGGCAATGGGAAGGGTGTAAACATATTTAGGCCACTCTGCTGTTTGTTCATTCTTACAGGGAACACTTATGAACTGCTACCTGCTGTTAATGTTGCTACCTTTAGCAGTAGGACTGATGGGTGTTTCACATGAGGTGCCTATCAGTGTGGTAGGCACCTTTTGAAAGATAGGAAACTGACGACAAAAAGCTGCCTTTTCTACATAATAGTGTGGTAATCCCTTGTATTTTTTTTTTTTTTTTAATGGATGCCTTTAACCGGAACCCAGTCTGCACTTTTCTTTTTCCTCTTTACCTCTATGTCCTATGTTCATAGGCTGTGTTACACTGCAGAAGAGTGTGTATATGCAGCAAAACAGTGTCTCTCCTCTCCCTTCCACTTTTGCCTGTGAACTTCCTCTCACAAGCACTCTGGATGCCCTATGCTTCCATCAGTCAGGAGGGGCTTCTATTTCCCCTGTCTTTTAAATTAAAATTAAATTAAATTAAACCTGTGGGTTTAATTAGAAAGGGATGATAAGTGCTCTAATATATTTTTAATGTAATTTGTTCATTCTTCCCCCTTATTTTTCCTAAGCTTTTAAGTGCAGCATCCATTTTGAATATCCTGAGGACAGTGTTCATTGATGCTACCTAATTCTTGTGGTTGGGATTGTAGAAGATTCTTTAAAGTGCTCATGAAAAGCACAGATGAATAAGTGTTCACACATGAGGTGACTAACAAAAGTCATATATATTGCACAATATGTAGAGAGAGCTACATTGCATATGTAACTTTCAAAATTAATTTTCTAGTATGCAGAAGCTAGCAATCATTTTGGGATAATATCTTTTGCCTAGAATTCAGTTTCAGAGAACATTTACCCTGTTGTTTTTTTTTTTTTTGATTGTCTGTTTTGTTGAATTAGTAAATATTTGAACGAGTGTGAAGAAAGTAAGACACAAGCTTCTAATATCAGCAGAAAGTATGAAGAGCTCCTTTCACAGCTTTCTGAATTCCTGGACACAGACATCAGAGAGAAAGAGAAACCACAGGAACACTTAATGTCAAAGGTGATTATGTGTAAGCAAGGGTTTTCTTGGACAAGGCTTATTAAAAACCTTTTACTGCGTTTTAGGAATATCTGCAGGAGTGACAAATTCAGCTTAATTCATGAAAACAAAACAAACAACCCCCCAAAAAACTGGTTTGACAAAGAAAATGAATTCATCCTTCTATGTAGAAAATAAGCAGAAGAATATTTGTTTATATAAAAAATAAAATTATAAAGAGAGGAATCTTTGTATTAAATAATGATTTTCAGAGTGGTATCATTTAAGACAGATTTTTCATATTGGCCTGATTTTCAAAGGTGTTGAACACTAATTGACTTTAGTGAACTCAGTCTTATTTACATACATATTTTATCGGCCTATAGTTTCCAAGTACAACCTTGATATGGTTCAAAGCTTTCCTGAAAACATTAGCAATGGGATCACAAGATGACATGTAAATTCTACCACTTGTATTTAATACTTATCTCAAGCTGATGTACCATTAAGTAGACATATCTGAAAAGGCACTTGCTAAAACAACTTAAACTGTGCCCTGTGTAACTTTACTGTGTAATAAAATGCTGTGAATCACTATAGGGTGTATTCGAATCTCAAGCATCAAAATTTATTATCTCCCCTCAGAATTTTCCTGGAGTATTGAATGCAAAGCATCCACTTAGGAAAGGAAAATTGTTTGTGTACTCTTTCAACCTTTTTAGAGGCTGCTGAAGGGCACTTTATCCTAATTTTATGCATTATTCTTATATAGTGTCTAGTCTTCTGTATCCCCACTTTTCTTCACTTGGGAGCACACTCAGAATTTTGGGAATTTCTCTTTTGTTATATTCATGCTGTAACTATCCTGGCTATAAGGAAACCTTAATAAAATAAGATGATCTAAGTAGGTGTCACAGTTCCACAGTTCTCTTACAGTCCTTGCCCTCATAATATTACAAGCATATTCAAATTGCAACAGATACATGTAACAAAACTTGGCTAGTTGTCATTGGAGGCAAAAATACTTGCATTAAGCCGTATCTCTTACATGCTTTAAATTAAGCAAATATACAGTTATTTATTTTTTAAAAGTATACATTTGCTCTTTTTTTTTTTCCCTCTTCCTAACAATTAATAGATCTAGTTGGGAAATCTAGAGTGCACTGAAAATTGTGTGCATTAGGAAAACTTAGCTACCAGTCAGGGTACATTATTTCCTAATGCAGTCTTTGAAGCTACCACACTTATCTACTCCCTGCTTGGAAACAACATAATGTAACAAAACAGGATATTTTTCCAAGGTGCTGGCTGTTCATCACAGCAGTCCACCAGGTATTTGGCCCTGCTCTTGAATATGCTCATGAAATAGCTGTTACTAACTCAAATATTCCTTTGCCTAAAAAGTTTCAAGCATAAAATGCAACTTTCAGTTTGTCGTTCCAAATGAGAGGCATAAATCTTAACGGGCCCAACCAAAACAGTCTGCTTTTCACATGAAGATAGTTATATGATCTGTTTTCATTTTGAGACCTGCTTTATGTCAACTGCAGATACTCAGAAGTGCCAGTAGCTCTCCACCTCTTTAGTAGATAATAGAGATTGTGTGGGAGTAAATCTGAACCACATTTCACTAAGATGTGGGTTTCTGGTGGGAATATGGTTCTCATTTTAATTGCCTTTCTACTTGTTTAGAAAGGAGCAATAGAATGCAATTATAAATCTAGCCTAGGGGTCTCGGAAACACCATGTCTGTATTAGGATGATTAGGAGCTGTATACTGGGATGAATAAACATCATTGTTAAGTGTTTAAAAATGTTTCCACTATTTGAATTATCTCTCTAGGTCTGTGAAATTTGTAAAGAAAATCTGGCACTAAAGGTTCAGGTTGCTGCTCTTCAAGAAGCTATCGATGGCCATGAGATGGAGTCCAAGGCTAGCAGAGAAACTATCATGAGGCTTGTTTCAGAAGCAACCAAAGAGCAGAAAAAGGCAGCAGGATACTATCAAGACATGGAAAAACTTAGTAAGGTACATAAATGAGTCATGCATATGTTTTTCTAGTTTTCATTTTTAATTTTAATTTCTCAAAATTTCAAATCAATTTTGGACAGGAGTTGCATGAGAAAAAGTACTTTTGAAAGACGTTCACTGATGAGGGTCTTTAGTAAAAAACAAAAGGTTATTCTAAGGTTATTCTCAGCTTCTTGAAATCTTAAAATATATGGAAATTATTATATAATTAAACAATAACTGTGCAAGATAGAACTGATTTAGATTTGATAGAACCGATTTAGATTTGATGTCTTCTTATGGTGATTGCAAATTGGTATTTTTGCTCCCTTCATATTGTAGACTTTGCTGCTTGCAAAAACATGTAATTAAGCAGAAGTTTTTCTAAAGCATTGTAAATGTATAACTGAATATAACTGAGGCACAAGAATGGAACAATGGAAAAAATGCTTGTTTAAATAATATGTGATGTTGCAAACTTTCTGATGATTCTGTTACTAAGATTCTTCAAAAATTCTAACGAGATTGAAAGGAATTAGTAGAATCTTATTTTATTCTTTCTTTTTCTGTTAAGGTCTGGAAATAAAATGTCTTGGCTTTTAGACACACTAGATTATCTTGTTTCACTGCATAATAAACCTGTATTTCATAAGAACTCAGCTGACTCATACCCAAAATGTTGTAGGCAGTAGGTTGTCTCTTGCAGAAAAGTACAACTTTACTGAGGAGAACCTGTAGAGGGAAAAAGTGCAGCAGGAATAATGGTGAATTGAGAATTGTAGGTGAAGTTGTAAGTCAAGTATTCACCAAATTCACCTAGGTACAATTTGGAAAGAAAAAGATGATTTAAGGATTTAAGTACTCCAAGAGAGCTTGCAGTAAGGGTTTAATATATTGCAAAGAAAGAACAAAGTCAGTTACTGCAGCAGTTTGCTTTATTACTTTGTACTTTGAGTGATAACTGCAAAAAGGAAGCAGTTTACTAAAACCATTATGAAAATTTCTTGCAGGTACTAGGGAAGTGTGGTTAAAGCTGATGGTCAGAACTAAAGAAAGTAAGAAAATGAAACTGCCAAATATGTAGCTGAGTTACGTGTAACTGAATTTGTAGAAATTTTAACATAAATACAACCTTGGGCAAGTAAGTTTTCAAAGTTAGTATACGTTAATGTTTTCTCCACCCCTCCAGCATTACTTTTTCCCTGAATTATCACAATCACATACTTTAAAGGATAAAGTGTTCTGATTTTGTTGTAGGCAAAATACTTAGCAGATGAGAGAGCTGACAGCATGCTTTTAAGAAGAAAGAATTTGTTGTGGGGAAAATGAATGTAAAGTACCACAAGGGTCATAAATTTTACTTACTGCTGAAAATGCTTCTTAATAACCTGTGTAAAATTTCCTAAGACTCAAATTGGAAAGAGAGTGAACCTGGACTGAAAACTTAACCAGGCCTTTCTGAGAACTTTTTGTCCCTGTTCTTCAAGCATAACAGGAGAGAGGGTGGTGCACTTGCCAGGTAAGCCAGAATCAGGAGACATTCTAAACTGAGATGAGTCTTCATTTATGATTTGTTTTGCAAGTTTGCTCTAAGTGCCAAAATATTTCAAAAGTTGAAGCACTTAGCTGAAAAATATTTTCCTGTTGTTATTGCATGTATGCCAAATGCATAATTTATTTAGCCCATTTTACAGAAACGTCTTGCTAAATTATCAACATTGCCTTTCAAATGAAGTGTGTGCCATCATGGCTAATTTAGAGGTTGCAGATTCCTCCAGTGTTGTTTCAGTTTAACTACTTAATTTTGCAGATATTGAATAAATCTCCTGAGAAAGTTTTGTGTTCACAAAAGTGTATTAAGAAATGCAGTATTGAAAAAATAAATAAAAACACAAAGAATGTTTTTAATCTGCGTATCTAAAGCAGGATATATAGTATCCCTTGTTCCTCTGATGAATGTCTTAAGCTACAGGAAGGGCATCCTCAGTTGTATAAAGTAGGTTTGACTTTGCACAGATGAAATAAGCATGTGAATAGAGTTGTGCATTGTTTCATGTTCACTTGCGAAGGAGAAAAGCAAGTAAAACTGTCACAGGTAATAAAGAAGTGTTTCTGTGCTAGCCAATAGCTTGGCTAAGTTTTGTATTACAAGATGGTGGCCACTTTGCCCCAGTTTTGTCTCTCAAAAAGCTTCTTAATTACATAGAGGACAGAACACAACCTTTCTGTTCAGTGGTTCTGTCAGTCTTCTCTGACAAGCCTCAGTCTCAGCCCTATTCACGCCTCCTCTCTGAACCATTTCCAGTTTTTCTTGTCAGGTGGTTCTTCGCTCTTGCTCCTTGGGATTTTTCTGCGTGGTCTCTCTTGATGCCTTAGGGTCTTTCCTCATGCCCCATGAAGAGGCAGCTATCTCATGGCCAAATAAACAGATTATAGACTCTGAAATTCTTGATGAAGAAAATGCAAACCAGATTGGTTGCATTCAGACTATTAGCATGATAAAAAGTTAATATGTGAGAGTTATTCAGAATGTTCTTTAGTAAATTTGATGCTCCAGGATTTGTTGAAGTCAGATGGTTTCCTTTGGAGCAACATAAGCAAGCAAACAATAATTTTACTAATTCCACTGTCAGCCTCGGTGCATTACAATTATAGAACAGCAAACAAGAGAAACTAATATAATATATAATTTAATTAGCAGTAGGTAACCAACTTTTTTTTTTTTTTCCTAATGTATTAGTTTTGTTTCAGAATCCTGAACTTCCCACATTCCCGACTGAATATTGTGAGAAGGTGCTCCTGGAATTCTGTAAACACAACATAAATGTTTTTTCTGACAGTGCTGGATATCACATTTGTGTTTCATAGAAAGTAATTTTTAAATGCTGCCCAAATTTCTAGACTGAAAATTAGAATATCTGTTCATTCTTTCTGTGTGCCCAGACAATGATTATTTATTATGATCATCATTAATTACAGTATTATGACAGTCTTTGAGAAAGTCTGGCAGTCTCTAAAAAAAAAAAAAAAAAAAAAGTCTCTAACCAAGTCCCTTTCTAATATTTATTAAATATCTACACAGTATTTATTTAAGGTATAGAAGGTGCATGTATTCTTTCAAATGAATTTGCCTTTCATACAGCTTTGACACTCACAAGCCACAAGAATTGGTAAACTGGCTTGTTCCTGTTTCTCATTTCCTCTGATGAGTCAACCTGGAAATATTTGTGATTCCTCTCAAGTCTTAATTTAAACATCTGTTTTGCAAAGATATGCACTAAGCAGTGTCTTCAAAAAACATATTTAGAATATTATCAACTAACTTTAATTAATTCAAATGTATCTGTATGTACTGTTGAAAATGAAGTTTTAATTCATTATTAATGTATTAATTTGTTATTAATTAAATCTAAGTAGTATGCAATATAAAATTTTAAAATGGATTGTATGAAAACATAGTTAATTAAAAATAAGCTATTATAATTTAAGGAAACTGAGAAATTGAGTAAACCATAAACACTCATACATTTTTAATATACTCAAATACTTTGATTGTAGATGTGACCAAATGATTTTAGTTTTTGATTTTCCCAATAGATAATGACTTTCTCATTTAGAACCTGGGTGTTTTTATTTATTTATTTTTGCTTGTTATAAGTTGTTAAGTAAATTAATTTTATAGATAGGTTTCAGCAGACATCTCAAATATTTTCAGGTTGAATCATAAAACAAGGTAGGAGATAAGAGCAATCTAGTTTGAAGTTCTTGTGGTATAGCAGTGGTAGATGAAGACACAGGTGGTGTAAGAATTCATGTGAAAAATACTGGCATTCTCTTTTATAACTTACTATTCCTGTTAATATAACCTGATTTTCTATTTTTTTTTTTCTTTGGAGTGGTGGTGGTTATGTAATTGACTTAATAAATTGAGACCCTGCTGCTCACTGAAGTGCCGGAGTTAATAATTATGGTGTAAGTTAAAAGTAAATATAAGGATAAGTAAACATCCTTCTCTGGTCTGAAGGCTCTCTCCAATTATTTAACCTAAATGCTGCACTCTTGTTATTAATTACATTCTTGTTATTAAAAACATTCAAGCCAAAAAGCCCAGAGTTTCCTCCGGATGGATTACAAGTGCCTCAGTTAGCATATGGCCATAGCAAGAAAGAAAAGGGAGGAGGTGGGCTTGTGGTTGTGGCAGGTATTGTAGAGGGATAGATGTTAGTGAAGGACAGCAGTTATATAGGAATCTGCTATATTAGGCTGAATAACTGTTGTCTGTGCTGTGAAAGTGGCTAGTGGCTGGTGAGTATGTAAGCACACAGAAGCAGAAGTACATCTTGCCATATATCCTCTCAGCTTCCTGATACAAGGGTTGCATCTATCTCCATGCTAACAGCTAATGCTACTACTATATAAAACAATATGTTTGTTTCACATAAAATCTCGTGAAAGCCCTTTAGAAAATGGTTCTGTCAGTATTAGTGAATTTTGACCAAAAATAAATGGTAATCCCTGCTGTTCTGTGTATGGAAAGCTATACTGCAAAATACAGGCAAGGCTCTGGACGCTGTGTGACTATCACTGTAAAATATGTGTGAGCTCTCTGGAAGGAGCCTCAGCTGTTTCATGAGCTTTCAGGTCTGTACCCACCTTCTCATGGCATAGCATTTCTCTTTATGAATCTTTATGCAGTATTTCTCTTAATGCCCCAAGATCATCAGTTCTCAAAAGGTATCTGGATAATGCACTCAGTAAAATAAAACAAGATAAAATGCTCAATAAACTGCTTTAACTTTTGGTTAGCACTGCAGTAGTCAGGAAGTTGGATCTTTGAAGGTCCCTTCTAACTGAACTACTCTACTCATTTAATTGGAAGTGAAATCTTGTGTCTTTTTTTTCCTCTAAGTTATTTGTTTTTCCTGTAGCAAGTCTTCATTTCACATTTCCATTAATCCCTGACTGAACTTGCTGTATTTTAAACTTCCAGGTATTTTTAAAGCTGAGGAAAAAAAAAA